AAACAAGTTTGGGACTTGGCAATTAAAAAAGATAACCTTTAGGTTAAGTGGTGCCACGAGTACTACATCAAAGGAAAAGACTTTTGGGAGTATCAGCCACCCAAGGGTTCATGCTGGCATTGGCAGAAAGTGTTGAAAATTTGAGATAAACTGAAAGAAGGTTTCTGTCAAGGCAAATGGATGGCTGAGAAGAATGGATGCTATATAGTTAAGTCAGGCTATACCTGACTGAGAGGTGCTGGTCAGAAAATGGTTGAAGCTCCCATAATATGGAACCGGTATAATGTTCCTAAACACAGTTTCATACTGTGGCTGGCTATGAGGAGAAGATTGCTTACTGCTAACAGGATGCTCAAATTCAATATTATTACTCAGCAGGTACAGTGTGGTTTGTGTAATTCTGCTGAGGAAAGCCTAGATCACTTGTTGTTCCAGTGCAGCTCCTCTAAGCAGGTATTAGCATAGTTTTCTAGCTGGTTGGAGTGTAGGAAAGTGCCAAACTGTTTAGCTTTGTGGAAGACCAGACTGTTGAAAATTTGACGCCAAAGTAGATGTAAGCAGAGGTTTCTTATTAGTACCTTGGCAGCTGCTGTTTACCATATTTGGAAGATGAGAAATGAAGTAATACATGGTAAAACTTGCTTACCAGTTGAGTTGCTGATTAAAGATATCAAACCAGAAGTGAAGTAGAAATTTAATGCCTGTTGTAAGAAAATTAGACAGATAGATAGAGTCTATTTTGAGAGGCTGGAAGTTGTGCTATGATAGTAGTTAGGTTGTAAACAGAATTATGTAATAGTTGTCTGGTTGCTGATACTGTTTGTAATTCAGTTCTGTGTTGTTTGAGAAGTTTAATACAAGTTAACCTTTTCATCCAAAAAAAAAAGGAGAGAGATCATATTCAATATTGTTATCCTCAAATTATTTTTCATACTTGCCAAATTCAATTGGAAATTAGCAATAACACTATTAAACTTTGTATTTTAAGATATGTATGGATATTATTGATGATGCATAGAATATTTCAAACTCATCTTTGAAATTGCGAGCATAGACCTGTAGAATGTGATGAACTAAACCATTTGAAGACGACGACATAGTAATTATAACAAGATTCAAATCAACAACACATATTTTGAGAAATTAAGAAACCATTGGTATGAATCATATGATAGATTGTTCTCTTAGGACTCAAATTATCTCAGACCAAATTTTTGTACCCATGGAAATTTATAGGATATTAGTTTTCTTTTTTTTGGTAATACTGGACCCCACTAGAGATGGGTAAACCCATGTCCACTGCAATAACCTACAAATAACAGTGAGAGGTAAACGATAAACCACGATAGACAAGTCTAGGGTGACAAGGACGTGTGTGAAATCGGGGGTTCATATATAGGTTTGCCATAACAAGCCCTCTAGAGGTGCCAATGGATAAGATTAGAGCTACCACTCGCTCTTGTTGGAGCGGGAATTTGAACCCATGACATCTTCTTGATAACAAGGGTGGTTGTACCACTTAACCAACACATCAATCGGATATTAGTTTTTAACGAATTCAAATTTTCCAAATTTAAATTCTTATATTTGTTTAAATATAATCTTTTGAAACCTTAATTTTACTTTTGTGTCTGTTTACTACTCCCTTCATGTTTTAGGTTAATTGATTTTCTTTCTTTCTTTTTTATTTACTTTTCTTTTTTATATCTTTCTATTAGGGGATTATTTGGTCCATCATTTTAGTTTTGGTCCATCATTTTAGTTTTATATTGTAAAACATATTAACTGTAATTTTTATGTTTCTCGAAATTGGAAAACAAATCTTTCCATCAAAAGCAATCTATTTTTTTGTTTGTCGCTGTGATTGGAGCCTATGAAATCTTATATAAGAACCTTATGAGTTGAAATTATGTTTTTCATCTTTATTGTCTCTTTCATTATTTGTATATTGCAGAAGGCATCAAGGCGCAAGACGGAAAAGTGTTCTATTTATTGAAAAAATGAGTCTATCTATAAAGTGTAAAATAGAAAAAGGTATTTTCATATGCAAAACGTTTCAAAAGATGAAAGATTTATTACACTTGTTTCTTAAAATTTGTAAACTCAATAAAAATGTAATACTCTATCTATTTCAAAATATTAAACTATTCATTTTGAAGATTCAGTAGTCTAATATATAATATTTAGTTTTGAAAATTGAATTATTAAAATGAGTATAAAAGATTATAAAAATAAGAAAAAAGAAAAAGACATAGAGAGGAGATTATAGATACCACTAACATACTCTATCCATTCTTTTTCTTTTCATTCAAAATTCCCCTTTCATCTCTAGCATAATCATTTTTTAATTTTACAAATAACTTCTATCATTCTGGAAGGGTCAGGACTTCATTTCAAGTAGACCTTTCAGGTAGAAAAGCAACCACTATGTCGTTAATTTGTCTGTGAAGATAATCTGAATCCAAAGAACTCAGAATTTGCAAAATCAAGAAACGGAAATACCGACAAAAAAGTACTAAACTAACAAAAGTTGGGAGAATCTGGATCTAAATACCTTATTAAAGCAAATTATTCAACAAAACCATAGAGATTTGAACATGAACTGCACATCTGGCCTTAACATTTATACTTTCTTGAACCAATATTTTTAATAATTTAAGATCCTCGTATATCTAGGGGCAAAACGTAAATGATAAATGAAATTCTGGTTTTGCCAAACTAGAAGATGAGAAAGAAAAGAAAAAAAAAAGGACAGAAAATGAAGAAGAAAGAAGGTTAAAATTTCTCTATTGAAACAGAGGATTCAAGTTGGTGATATAAATATGCAAAGTTTGAAATAATTTGCAAGTTAGATTCTTAAATTTTTGAGATCTAATTGAATGATTTGCGTGTTATTTTTCATTATTGTGGTGAAATAACACAGCGTAAAAAACTTTCAAAAATTATTAGACAATAAATATTAATTCTTTTACTAAATTTGAGTGGCATTGTATTTTATTCGGATTGAGAAAGCATACGACCAAATTGGTAAAAAAAAATTCCACTACGTACCCTATTGTGGTAAGTGAACTTCACGCCAATAAGAATTACTCGACTCAATATTTTATATCGTATCCCCTGTATTATTTTAGCTATAAGACCAATCATTTGAAATAGTAATTTTTACCAACTTAAATAAAATTTATAAGTTATTTAGTTTAATATTTGACACAAATAAATTTCTAAAACTTGCCTTTACTGCCCGTAATTACTTCTTGAGGATGTAACACTTCTTGCAAAGGATTGATACAGTACTAAAGAGTTGATCACTCCTGGCTTTCTTCTGTTTTCTTCCTCGAAGTCCTTCGAGTGTTCTTCTCGATTTTTCTCTTGTTGGTCTTCTCGACCTTCTTGGTCCGTTTCTCAACCAATAGCTACTCATCATTTAAATCAATAATATGAGAACCAACACCCATGTATAACACTGAGAATAATATATTATCTATTGTGGATAATATGGTGTCCATTGTCCAATCAAATTCATTTTTCATAAAAATAATTGGTTGTCTGTGGGAGATCCAAATGGAATTAAGGTCGGCCACTTGAATATGAAGATGCTGAAACTTTTTAGGGAATCTAAAACCATGGTTTCTTCTGTGGTTGCCATTAATGATTTTGTGTTTGGTAGAAACCATGACCATGACATTCTTGCATGGGAGTTTTACTCCTGGAGCAAATTTGACACCACATCATAGCTGGTAGGGCACAATGCCAATATCACGTGATTGGTTGAGTCTGTTGGCAAACTTTGCTCAAGTTCTCTCGATGAAACCACGAGAGTACGTTTCACCCATAGGAATCAGACCAAAGCGAACATTTTCAGGTGAACAGTGAAGTGGTGGGGTATAAATAGAGAGGAGAAGAGTTTGATTTGATTTTTGACTTTTGAGTTTGATTTTGGAAGATTAAAAAAGAATTGACATTTTGGGTCTCTATGTTTGTTGTGATTCTCTTCTTGGTACCCCTTATTTTTGCATATCTTTTCCGATTGATTGACTCACACGATTGCACCACCTTTGCAAGCTAATAATTGTTAATTTTTTGCTAAAATAATTTTTTTTTAATTGTAACACTACTTATTGCTTAAAATTTCTTCAATTAAAAGTTTTTTATTTCAAAATATATTTTTATTATGAAATAACAACTACATCATATTAATTTAGTAGAAATTGTCTAACAACAATTGATAATAAAAAGATACAAAAGAGCACTACTTACAATTAGTCATATTGCTATTGTTACGTGTTTAGTGGATCTATATATATAGATACCGAATACAACATTGGATGTATCACGTAGTATTTAATTAATCTGATTAAGAATATATTTCTAATCATCTGATAAAAAATCCAAATCATAATATATAAACTCCAAAAATTAAATTAGAGCAAGGAAAAGGCCAGCTCCCTTGCAATCATCCAAGAAAACCAACAGTGGAAGATTAAAAAAAAACAGCTTTAAAAGACAGGAGAACTACACTAATCCACTACGAGTCTAAGACTACCTCTTCTCAGTGTTCTCCTCAATAGGAAGCCAATAAGACAATGAACTACGTACCTTACGCATCATATTTTAACAAATGTATAAACATGATAGAATTAACTGAGATTATGACCTTAAGATGAAACTTTCTGGCACATGTTCATAAGGACCGAATTCTACAGATACAAACTCGAATGAGATGAGAATCCTTGATGAATAAATAATACTACTATTATATAGATGATACAAAACACATAGGAGGATCTCAGGTGGCATTGAATTCTTCAGGGTCGCTTCTGGCTTCTTGAGATTTTTGAGCTTCTCTTTTGAAAGTTGGTCATAATTGACTGCTTCAAAAATACAGAACAGGGTGAAGCCCCAAAAAAAAATGGCACCTGGAAATCCTTTTAGATTGCTGCATTTTAACGAATATCACCAACAAAACCTTCCAACTCCTCAATTTCTATTCCTTTATAAAATTAGCCCTTATATGCCATCAGCTTTGTGAATGCCATTGTAGTAATAAAACTATCCGAACCAACTTGATGGGAATTCTCAATTCGTACGATTCCCAACCGCTCTGAAATTTCAACTAACTTGCCTTTGAGGTTGGGAAAAAACCGAAGCAAATGCTCGACATCATAAACTGTAGGGAAAAATATCTTCAATAGACGAAGAAAGTCTTCTTGGGTATCAGGCATCAGAAGTGGGAAATCTTTCCGAGTATTCGGCAAGGTTTGTCGACCCATTAGAAGCTTCAGTAGGTAACCAAAGTCATAAGAACCATGAAACACAATCCAGGTTACTCTGTCATTCAATACCACCCCAATGACATCAGAAAATCAACAAATAGCAACGCATCAATACGATCATCTGTGTTTTTCCCGAAAGTAAAACCATGTTCCTTAAGGAGCTCAAATGAGGTTGGGTTGTACCTATCTTCATCCAGATTAAAATCTCTAAAAGTGAACTGCCAGATGCAGCCTTTACACTTCTTTCTATAACTTGGAAGATTCCCTTTCCCACCCAAAAAAGTCAAGCCTAACTGGATCAATTTCAGAATATCAACGTTCTCCTTCAATGAGGCATATCGCTCGGACTTGGTAGTTTCGCGGTACTTCTTCTTTAGAGGAATGACAACACCCGGATACTCTGTATCAATGGCCATATAAGGATACATGTCAACTATGCGTCTGATTCTCTTAAACTCCTTCTCAAGATCAAAACTATGAACCTCTCTGACATGATAATTAGCATGTTTTGACACCATCATGTCCCTAAAATCAAGAAATTGAGGGAACCCACAATATGCAAAATCAAGAACCGCCAAAATCAAAAAAAAATTCCACTACATTATTGTGGTAAGTGAACTTCACGTCAATAAAATTTACTCGACTTATTATTTTATATCGTATCCCCCGTATTATTTTAGCTATGAGACCATTCATTTGAATAGTAATTTTTACCAACTTAAGTAAAATTTATAAGTTATTTAGTTTAATATTTGATACAAATAAATTTCTAAAACTTGCCTTTATCACCCATAATTACTTCCTGAGGATGTAGCAGTTCTTGCAGAAGGATTGATGTAGTACTAAAGAGTTGATCACTCCTAGCTTTCTTCTGTTTTCTTCCTCGAAGTCCTTCGAGTGTTCTTTTCAATTTTCTTCTTGTTGGTCTTCTCGACCTTCTTCGCCCATTTCTCAACCAATAGCTACTCATCATTTAAATCAATAATATAAGAACCAACACCCGAGTATAAAATTGGGAATAATATGTTTCCCATTGTGGATAATTTGGTGTCCATTGTCCTTTTAAATGCATTTTTCATAAAAAAATAATTAGTTGTCTGTGGGAGATTCAAATGGAATTAAGGCCGCCCACTTGAATATGAAGATACTGAAACTTTTTAGGGAATCTAAAACCATGGTTTCTTTTGTGGTTGCCATTAATGTTTTTTTGTTTGGTAGAACCAGGACCATGACCTTCTTGCATGGGAGTTTCACTCCTGGAGCAAATTTGATACCACATCATAGCTGGTAGGGCACAATGCCAATATCACGTGTTTGCTTGAGTCTGTGGCAAACTTTGCTCAATTTCTCTCGAAGAAACCACGAGAGTACGTTTCACTCATAGGAATCAGACCAAAGTGAACATTTTCAGGTGAATAAAAATTGAGTGGGTTAGACAGTGAAGTGGGGGGTATAAATAGAGAGGAGAAAAGTTTGATTTGATTTTTGACTTTTGAGTTTGATTTTGGAAGATTAAAAAAGAATTGGCATTTTGGGTCTCTATGTTTGTTGTGATTCTCTTCTTGGTACCCCTTATTTTTGCATTTTATTGGTGTCTTTCCGATTGACTGACTCACACGATTGCACCACCTTTGCAAGCTAATAATTGCTACTTTTTTGCTAAAATAACTTTTTTTAATTTTAACACTACTTATTGTTTAAAATTTATTCAATTAAGAGTTTTTCATTTCAGAATATTTTTATTATTAAATAACCACTACATCATATCAATTTAGTAGAAATTGTCTAATAACAATTGATAAAGAAAAGATACGAAAGAACACTAATTACACAATTAGTCATATTACTATTGTTACGTGTTTAGTGGATATCCTATATATATATATGTGTGTATATATATATATATATATATATATATATATATATACCGAATACAACATTGGATGTATCACATAATATTTAATTAATCTGATTAAGAATATATATCTACTCATCCGATTAAAAATCCAAATCATAAATATATTAAATAGATCTATGATGGCTTAATCTCCTTGAATCGCACAATGCGAAGCAATGAGAAAACAAACATTGTATCAACAACATAGAAAACACCTTAGACACTACAACAAATAAAACTCTTCCCTCGAAAAAATAGACACAATCTAGTAAAATAATAACACACTCTTGATAGACTGTGCTATTTGAAAAACACGATTTAACCGGTTGTAGGAAAAAAAAAATCCTGCTTATTAAATAGTATAAATAACAAGGAACAAAGAAAAATTAAATCGATCTCACCCCATTAACCAATGAGTGAGCATGCAGAAAAAAGATTGTCTTTTGAAAGACGATTTTGAATTTTTCTTTTATTTATCATGGACATATTCAAAAACAAATTCGAAAAAGTCACAAGTTTTAACATCAACCTTTTTTTAGTTTAGTAAATATTCCGTCCTTTTCGATTTATATATAGAAGCAACTAAACCCAAAAACTAATATATATAAAATTATGAAGTTTAACTTGATAAGGCTTGTACTGTTAAATTTTACACATTCAAAATCATGTCAAGTTGCTCTCGTAGCTCAGTTGGTTAGAGCACCCGTTTAGTAAGCGGGAGGTCTTGAGTTCGACTCTCAACGAGAGCAGATGTGCTACTATATTTTACAGCACTTTTTCAGGTGTCATTTTTCACCCCCGATGTTTTCGGCTTTCTGGATATATTGATTAGCAAGTAATCATGTTTACCGACTTATCTACCAATTCAAATATTTTGATTTATCAATGATCCCCGGAAGTTCAGTTTGCCTTGCTTTAATTTTTCTACGAATTTAGTTACAACTTACAAGGGAAAAGTCTTAAAACATCAAACTATGATGTACTTTTTTGGATCAGTCGATCATGACAACTTTACTTTATTTTTTTATTTTTTTATTTTTTTTTAACGACCCTAGTTTATCCCACTGCCCTTTTAACTCCCTTTTAACTCTCGAAAATCCTCTTGTTTTGCCCCAAGACACACTCGGGAAGGCCCCCTCCTTAAACCATTGAGACAAGTATCTTTTCCCGGCAAATTATCTGGTACACTCCGGGGCACCGTGTGCCTCCCTACCCGTGTACTTTACTTTCTTAAAATAGCATTAGTCCGCTAGATAATTCAACTTTCTTTTTCTTTCTTTTTTTTTTTAAACGCGGCATATATAAATTACCGAATTCATTCAAATTTTAAAAATTTTGTGATGGAGTATTATTGTGGATAACCAGTTTACACCTTCTGGATAACCAGTTTGCAACTTGTGGATAACCAGTTTACACCTTCTGGATAACCAGTTTACACCTTTTAGATAACCAATTTACAACTTGTGGATAACTAGTATGAATAAGTGGATAACCAGTTTACACCCTGCGGATAACTAGTATAAAATGGGTGGATAACCACAAACAAAATTTGGACAAGCACCCCATAGCACACACGCAGGAAAACATGGATAACCAGTTCAGATATAGTGGATAATCAGTAACAAAAAAACACAAAAACATGGATAACCAGTTCAGTTTGTCCATGCCACATAGAGTCGTTGCGACGGCGACGACGTTCAGTGATCGAGGAAAGGCTCCGGGGCAGGTTGGTAATTGGTTTGTGTCCACTCTTAATGCAATAACACACTCTCCTTACACACACACACTCTCCTTACACACACACGAAAAAAGGATTACCTTAGCTAAATTGGCGTGTTCGGCAGGGCGCGCAGCCGGGGCAGGTTGGTGACCTGCGATTCTGGTAGCCGCGGGAGTCGTTTAGTTTATCATGGGGGGCGAAACCCCCCAATTAACATGTCGTTTGCTTCTTTACCTCTGGATAACCAGTTTACAACTTGTGGATAACCAGTTTACACCTTCTGTATAACCAGTTTATCCCTTTTGGATAACCAGTTTACAACTTGTGGATGAATTATGGATAACCAGCAATTGTGTGTGTTTGTGCATGAGGATGAAAACAGTAAAGTGGATGAAAATAATTTTGTTTGTGCATTTAATGTAAAAATAAAAAATGTTGAGCGCGTGTAGCCCGTGTGTTTGATGGGGGTATACGGTATACCCGGGTACACTGGATACGGACTCTTTTTTCCCAAATATAATGTACTTAGAAACTAAAATCTAAAGAGGTACTATTTGCTCCCTCTCAAAATAATTATCTATTTAGATTTTTATATTTAGTATAAATTGAATTAGAAATAAAAATTTAAATAGGATTATTATTTTGGGACAATCCGTCTCATTTTATTGATGAGAATTATATTAGCTTTTGGAGAATACATATGGTTTCTACATGATGATTTTTTCATCCGGCCGATAAATTTGAGTATGACGGATCTGATGATTTTGTTATGAATGGCTTGTCATGACTGAAATTATGAGTCCAAACGAGTAGAGAACTGGCCGGTTCTGTTGAGAGCAATTGCCTAAGGTCAGCTCAAAAACTTAAAAGAGAGCTCGAGTTTGATCTACCGAGGGCAAATAGTTGTTCTCCACTTCTCTTTCCCAAACAACATAATTCCAATAACATATACTCCCTTCGTCCTGAAATTATTGTTCTCTACTTCTTTATTTGTACTAAAAATAAAAATTCAAATTAGACAATAATTTCGGGACGAAAGATTATATAAGATATTTTGATTTGTCATAAGTTTCATTTAGTATGTTCTTCCAATTGAAAATAAAACTTTAAAATATTTTATAGTAATTGGTAGATTACAATAAATGTGAAATATATTTTTAAAATTTTATTTTCAATTAGAATACTGTATTAGATAAAACTTAGGACGAATCAAAACTCCTTACAGTAAGGACCCATGGAGTAGTATGATTTCATTGTGGATGGTTTAATATTAATCCTTATGAAATATAGTATCAAAATGCATACAATATTAATCCACGAGTTCAATAATTATTGTCATAAGTACGCTACCCAAAAAAGTTAACATACCGCGACGCCATCAATTTTATACTAATTATTCAAGCATACATATAACAATAATATAGCAACATAGACATCAAGAAAATTGGTAAAAAAGAAAAAAAAAATGCGATGACCGGTTAAATAATATGTGGTTTTACTGTTTAACGCGAGATCCCAACTCCTCTTTTATTTAGTAATCATAATTAAAAAAAAAAAATTAGACTGAGAAATTTGTAGCGCAAGTCTTATGTATAAGTATATAACCAAAAGGTAATGAAAATACAGAGGTAAATTTTTATACTGTAAAATAAGTACTTTTCTCGACCATCATGTATTACACGTAGTACATATTTGATCATGTTGAATTGCTAATAGGAATCAGAAATCTCTATTCCGTTTGCAAATCGGGAGAGGATTAAAACCGGCCTCAACGTTATTATATATAAAAAAGAAATCAAGAAAGATTTGTAGTTGTATAATTTTGTTGCGATCTCAATCCAACAACAACAAACAACAATGGAGTACTCTTGGAATAAATTTGACCCGAAAACAACAACATTCGGATCCTGGAAAAAATTTAAGGAACTTGAAACAGAGGCTTACGGCAGGGGCTCTGTTTTCTTGGCCTGCAATCGTTCTTTACGGTGCATAACTGTGAAATCCGCCAGTGAACACAATCATTACGCTTCTTCTTGGCTGGAACAAGAACATGGATTTTTGTCCCAGTTAATCGGAATCCCCTACGTTATTCAATGTTATGGAGAAGATTACAGCGTCGAGAATGGCCATAATGTTTACAACCTTCTTCTAGAATACGCCCCGGGAGGGACTCTTCGCGATCTAATCAAAAGCAGGTATTATGACCAAGGCCTGAGCTTGCCGGAAACCCACGTCGCCGTTTACGCTAGGATGCTGCTCAGAGGGCTCGCCGGGATTCATGGGAAGGGAATCGTTCATTGCAATCTGAAACCGGAAACCATACTCGAGTTCCCGGCCATCTACGGTGGCGAACTCATCAATGATTTGGTAATAGCTGATTTCGCTTCTGCCAGGAAAGTCTCGGAAAACCATTTACCGGTGATGACCACTGGGACCACTCGACTGTATGCTTCGCCGGAATTGGTGAGCTCCGGTCAGTTCGGGACTTACACCGACATATGGTCTTTTGGATGCATAGTTCATGAGATGATGACAGGAAAGCCTTTTTTATGGAATAATGATATAGCTTTGATTGATCAGATACCACAAGGGAATAATAATGATAATATTGATTTGACATCATCATGGAGATTTTCTAACACCGGAGAAGCCGGTGTCGATTTCTTAAGAAGGTGTTTGGAGAGGGACCCAGAGAGGAGGTGGTCTGCTAAGGAGTTGCTATTGCATCCTTTCATAATTAAGAACTTGAAGATCATGTCTGAAACCTGCGGTGTTGATTTCGAAGAGATTGACAGAAAGAATTGTCTTCGGACCACCGCCAATCCTTTCGGGAACGGATGGGTTTCGAGGAATCTTTTCTCCGAACCGGCAATGGATGTTGAGGTTCTACAACAACAACGGCCAACGGCGGCGCACCCGCTGCTGGATCTTCTACAACAACCACCGCAACAGCCACGGGCAGCGGCTCACACAGGAATATAGTCCTAATTCAAGTTTAGAGTTAAGGGTGAGATCTTGTATTTTGCGTAACGTAGAACTTTATTGGTAGTCATTTTTCTTTATGTGATTCCTCTCAATGAGAAGTGAAGGTTTTATACTTATATTGCGTGAGGGATTTTAATTACACCTTGTTCGAAGCATATTGGAGTATTCCTTCCGTTCTAAAAAAAAATTCATAGTGAGTTTTAAATTTGTACTAAAAGTAGTACAAATCTCAATACTCAACGTGAACTATTTTTTTTTGGGACAGAATTAGTATTTTTTTGTCATTCACGGGATTGAAGTACGACTTTGCCAAGATTTCTAACCATTGAGTGATGGTTTCGTTTTCTAGAGCTAAGACCTCTTTCAATGTGCTAAAAAGAAATATGAATTCAGTAGATGTTCGATTTCCTAGTGTATAAAAGATCTGGTTTTCAATGTATGGAATATAAAAGTCAACTTCAATAATTCTCAAATTTTCTTAAAACAATGTTTCATTTTACTTTTTCTCATTGAAATTTCCTTTAATGATGCTAATCATGCTTCTCATTTGATATCTATCATCACAAGTATTGCTCTCCAAAAATTCGAGCAAAATCTGGGTCATTTTACAAAATTAATAATTAATTCGACATTTCACATTTAATACAAGAAGATCACCCTGAAAGAGACAACCGAAATTGGTAGCTAGAGTCAATGATCGACATGACTATGTCTCCTTAAAATTGGACTTCTTTGATGAAGTAAAAATAAACGCCTACACTTCCTTTGTAGCGTTACAGTCATTTGGGTTTTAAATGTTGAAAGAATTGACAACCTGTGACCTGTCTATGTAGTAAAAGATTTTATCAATTTTACCTCGAAAACTTTATTTTCAGCTTTAGAAGACTTTGAATTGAATCCTGTTTGTTTTATTTTTATGCATATTCAACCTTTCAAATTTAGATTTTGAATTATTTAAAAATTTGATAAGGTGTTTTTGATACGTAAATATGTATGTGAAATATTAAAGTGAGAAACAAAAGAAATCCAAGTTTATAGACCCAAAATTTTGATTTTTATGAAGGAAATTTAGAACATTTCGTCAATTTAGATGGTAAGATTTTATTTTTTTCGAACAATCATAATGAAAGAAAAGAAATAGTTAAGATGAAAGGATTCAAAATCATAGAAAATTCTAATTTAATAAAAATTTCAAAAGTTGATTTTCTTGGACCATTGTTTTAAAAATAATATTGATATATAATTTGAATTTTTTTTTGGGCGCATAAATGCATTGGATATGGCCTATGAACATTGAATAAAAGGCAGTTAGTTTTTATGTGTGAAAAGGTGTAATGATTTTTTTCTCATCTCTATACAATAAAACATCTATAAATTAATATTTTTTCCTTGATCTTAATTCGGGACTTGAACAAAAAATTAAAAAATAAATAAAATAATATCAGATAACCTCTATATAAATATTGGTCCCTCAACAAAACTAATTAAAAATTACTCAAATAAAAATAGAAAAATTAGCAAGATTTATTAAAATATGAATTTATGGTAGTTTTTTTCCTTAAAATTTTGTATCTTTAGTAATAATTTAAAAATTGAATTCATTTATCTAAATTTGACTTTATCTCCAAGTTCTTGAAAATTTGATATTTCTTTTTTCAAAACAAATTTCTATAATTTAATGAGTCATCAATTTATCAATATATTATTAGTTATTAATTCATCAATTAAAATAATAAATTTATAAATTGATAAAATTTTGTTGCGAGAATATAATTTGTTGATGTTTGACTTATTAACTAGTAATCACACAAAATAAATAATAAAAAAGAGATTTATTAAAATGTCAATATAAAGATAGTTCGCTTTTTCTTGAAACTTGTATCTGAGGTGAAAAGTTAAAAATGAAATTCGTATAACATAAACTCGAGTATCTCTAGTTATTAGAAATTAAAAGTTCCTTTTTTAAATTTTTTCTAAATTAGTAAGTTATTACTTTATCGATAAATTAATATCAGTTAAATAGTAAAATCTATGAAGTAATAACCTTTTTATTTTTTTAAAAAAATCCATCCCAGTGGACCCTACTTAAATGTAGGTAAAATCCCTTACAATTCATGGTGGGAATCGAACCTTGGTATATTAACAAGAAAGACAGCAACCTAACCATTAGGCTGTCATTCAATTCCCATCTATGAAGTAATAACCTTTAGTGGTCGTAAGAGTATTAACTTAAAGATTTTTTTTTTAATTATTGTTAAACACATCCAAATATTAACTCCTGATCTGCCCCTATCAATGAGTTCAATCAATTTAGGGTTGTGCCTATATTTATCCAAATTGAACTATCAGATGTTGCCTTAACATTTCTTCCAACAACTTGGGAGATTGCGTTTTTCATCCGAAAACATCATGCCTAACTAGATCAACTTGAGAAGATTCGCATTCTCCTTCAATGAGGCATATTTTTTGGATTTTGTAGTTTCGAAGTATTTCTTATTTAAAGGTTTAACAATACCCGGATATTCTTTATCAAAAGCTACATAAGGATATCAGCCCATTATGCATATTATTCGCTTAATCTCCTTCTCAAGATCACAACTGTGAACCTTTCGACATGATAATTGGTATATTTTGACACCAGCATGTTGTTAAAATCTGCAAAATCAAGAAATAGAGATAAAATATCGAACAAACCAAATTGAGTGAACCAAGATAGTAAAACCTCATTAAACCAAAAAATGTCAAGCAAGAATCTTATCGATTGAACGAAATCTGTGAATTGGAACCGACATATGATCTTAAAGATTTAAACTTTAAGGAGTTTAAGAACAAGGGTTGGATTAAGGGTTGGATGTGTGTTGAATCAATATCCTCAATAATTTTAAATCCTCAGTTGTCCACTAGAAAAAATAGAGATGAACGAAGTTGTGGGTTTTACTAAACAAGAAGATAAAGAGACAGTAAATGTAAGAAAAAGGGATGTGCAGCCTTTTTTAGGTGAAACAGAGACTTCGTTTAAGATCGTGAAGAAGAAGAGGTGGGAATTTATAGATGTGAATTTTAAAACTTTGAGAATTAGTAATTTGGTCCTTTAGATTCATCTTATATTTTAAGAATTCGCCATTTTTTCATTCTATAAAAAGTTAATAAGTTAAAAATTTTAGCGAAGTTGACTTTTCCGCCGACTTAGTTAAGCTAACGATAGATTGAACGGATATGATATCCACCAAATTTTTTTGGGTGTATAAATCATACCTATTTTTTAACAAATACTTCCTCCATCCCAAAATTATTGTCTAATTTGAATTTTCATTTTTAGTTCAAAGTATACGTACTAAAAGTGAAACCCAAACTGGACAATAATCATTTTTAGTTCAAAGTATACTAAGAGTGAAAAGCCAAACTCGACAATAATTTTGAGACAGTGTAAGTATAAGATAACAAAAAAAAATAAAAAATTCAATAATCAATTGAAAAATCAACATTGATTTGTTTAATCTCCTTCTCAACATATCATCTTCCCAAGTTTGAGAAGATAACATACTAGCCTTATGTAAATTTTATAGGCCTGTTTGGTTATCTTGGAATTTAAGTGGGAATGTAATCTTTTTTCTTGTTTTCAAATTTTTATGTTTGTTTTGTTTAAGAAAGTAATCATTTTCCTAATTATTAAATTCTAATGTTTGTTTAGTTTTAGCAAAGTAAAAAGATTCCCAAAGTCAAAGGCAGTCAAGGAAAATAAGTGCAAGATTTCAGGATTGTGATTACCCACCTAAGAGTTATTATTCTTTTTCTTTTCTTGGGATTTTACAATTGAGTATCTATAAATTTATAAATTTATAGTGATTATAATTAATTTATATTTCCCAATATAAAATTATCTATAAATTAATTTTGATTTAAAAAGTATTTATTTTTTTTTTTTAAAGTAAAAAAACAAAATTCTTGATTTGAAAAAATTAACAAATAATTTATTATGAATCAAATGATTTAATTTAAAAGACTCACATTGACTAATTTAATCTAATTTAGTTTGCAATATAAATCATAATGATAGGTCTAATAGTTAGCAAATGAACAATGATTTTTTTGCGTTATTAATTAACAAAATATTTGATTTGGCCACATAAAACTAGACTATTTATCAAAATAAATTTTTTTTAAGAAAAAAATGAATTATTGATCTTTCATGAATAAATGTTACATAAATAAATAGATAAACAAATATAGATTTATAATTTTTTTAACCAAAAAAAATCAAGTTTCATTAAAAAATTGTAATATTAAAATGGCGATGTTAAATAAATTAACAGCCAAAATTTTAGGCCGATGATATTCAATAAAATTTCAACTTGGATTATCTAGCTCAAAATTATATGAGTTTTGTTAGGTTATAAATTTATAATTATACATATACACACATATCTTCAATGTTGTTCGTGTAGTTAGATTTTGAGTGAATCGCTTCAAGAATTTGAATGAATTTCAAAACGGGCATGTTGAAGGTTTATAGGCTATTTAAAAAAAAAATTCACTTTCAAACATATTTCCAAACATGTAAACAAACATAGGAAAGTATTTAGATTTTCCAGAATCATTTTATCACTAATCATAAAGTAAAGTAAAATATTAATTTTTTTTCAGAATTAAAACTTTACCTTCCTCAACTTTGCAAGCAACCAAACAGGAATGTAAACTCCACATAAGTAGAACTGTTGGGAACAATTAACAGAGGCTTACGGAAGGGGATCTGTTTTCTTGGCCTGCAATGGTTTACGGTGCACAACTGTGAAATCCGCTGATGAAAACGCATCTTCCCGGCTCGGAAAAAAAAAAAAAATTTAGTTTTGGTGCCAAGTTGAATGGAATTATAAACGTAATTCAATATCTGGGGATTACAGCGTCAAGAAAGGCGATGCTATTTACAACCTTCTTCTAGAATATGCCCCCGGCGGAAGACTCTTCGCGATCTAATCAAACGAGGCTTAAGCTATATGATGACAGGAAAACCTATATGGAAAGACGGTGATAATAATATGACTTTGATTGATCAGCTAGCTATACTTTGGAGTACTGACATATCATGGAGATTTTCTAATACAGATGGTGTGGATTTCCTATAGAGGTGTTTGGAAATGGAGAGAGACCCAAAGAAAAGGTGGCTTGCTGTGGAGTTACTAAAGCATCCTTTCATAGTTAACAACTTGAAGATCATGTGTTGATTTCGAAGACATCAACAGAAAGAATCGCTTTCAGACCATTCCTTTCGGAGCTTAATGGTTTTTAACCAATCTTTTCTCCAAACAGACAATGGAGGAACACGGGCCAATAACACCAGCAGGATCTACAAGAACAACAGGCCAGTGCCGTGCGGAACTCTAATAAAACGGCTAATGCAAGTTCATAAGTTATAGGGCTCTTCAGGGTGATCTTCTCCTGTCATGTGTAACGTAGAACTACTTATGAGCAGTAGGGAAGTTTCATCCCGCTACTAGCCTTTATGCAATGTTATTAGCAGTTAGGCTTTTATGGGAAGTCATTTCCTTTTTGCTTCCTCAGAATGAGAGAAGTGAGAAGGACCTTGGCATGAAGAGTTGTTGGGTTTGAGGTGGATGGATGATGAACCTTTATTGCCATTGTGCAATTGAAAGCCTCTTTTCTTTCAAGGGAAAAAAGATGTCTTAAACTGGTCTTTTTGTATCTTCATTGAATTGCAGGTGTTAATACATAAATCATGGCTCTTGAGAACTCATATTTAACTTTCCTGATAAGGTCCCTACAATGCTAATCATGCTGCTCCTTTTATTTCTATCCTCGCAACTCACAAGTCACAAGTGTAAAACTGCAAAGACATACAATCACAATCACCAAATCCACAATTGCTTCTGTAACTACTACCAAATTAGCCTCACCTCAGTCAACAACCTCAGTTAATAAACGAATCATCCCAGTGAGGATCCTTCCCTTGATATCAAGGGTTTAAAACAAATATGATATAAACATTAAATTAGTGTTCCTCGACCAATCAATGGACCCATCTGGTCAAGAGTTCAAATAGGTTGCTTGAAGAAAAAACCAATGTATAGCGCTATCTAAACTCTGGAAATCAAACTACAGCAAGCAGGGCAACTTAAATCTAATAGGGAAGGGGGCAGATTATAACAATCTAAGCAGGAAAAAGTCAGTTTCCTTAAAATCATCCACAAAACCAACAGCACATGTTCAAAACCACAGCTTCCAAAGACGGGAGAAAAACTACAGAAATCAACATTCAGTTATCAGCACTATGCCATAACACCTTAATTTCTCAGTTCTCCTCAAGAGGAAGCAAATAAGACATAAGCTTATCCAGATATCCATGTAGATCATAGCATATTATGAACTATACGTTAGGCAGCATCAGACTTGACAAACCGTTATCACTTATCAATTCACATCAACATCGACATAGACGATTGAAAGCAAGAAAACAAAAAGGTAATCTCAAGGAAGCATTTCACTGAACCAAAAATACTTTTCGCCAACACAAAATCGATATATGACAATGCATAATGACAAATAACAGGACAAAACTTTCCCATAATCAATAAGTAGTTTTACATTACACATAATACAAGAAGATCGCCCTGAAAGCAGCAACCGAAATTAGTTTCGGCCGAGAGGCAATGAACGGCATGAATATGTCTCCTTGAAATTGGACTTCTTTGATGAAGTAAAAATAGATGCGTACACTTCCTTGGTAGCGTTCGCTGGTGCAACATCAACAGCCTTGAATTTCTTAGCTGGCTTCTTCATCTCCATTTTACCATTTACCATAGCCTTACCATTTCCTTCCACTTTAAGCACAGCCTTTCCGTCTACTTTAGTATCAATCCCATGTTTTGTGCCACTCAACCTAGGTACTTCCACAGTCCCGTCATCCTCTCCATTCACTGCCAAACCTCCATTCTTTACCTTCTTCACTTTCTTATCCTTAATTTTGGCCCTCTCCTCCTCCATTCTCTCCCTCAATTTCGCCACTTCCTCATCACTTCCATTGATCACAATCTTATCACTGTCATTAAACTCCTTATGGCAAACCAAACATACCGAAGACTTTACCTCCTTCAATGCCTTGGCACTCAGCACATGCCCACAAGGCCTCAGCGCGAAGAACTTATATTTCCCATTGAACTCCAGCCCAGATATGGGGCACTGGAATTTCGGCCCGCTTGGACTCCCACTGTCCCTCTTATTTTCCAGACCTGGAATCATAGATAACTCGACAGAAACCATATCCTTCAAACCCTTTATGTATCCAAACTCCTTAGGCAAATTTTTCTTCAACAAAGCCTCCACTAAAGCCTCCTTGTTAAACAAATTCCCGAGCATGTCAATCACCACCGGCCGCTTCAACGGCTCATTAGATAACGAACAATTAAGCCACTTTGACAGGCGCATCTCGTTAGGGTCAACTTTATCCGGCTTCTTCGTGGCGTACATGTTGAGATAGCAGTCCCTGGATTCCGCTCCGGTAGCGCCGCCATCTCCACCACCACCAAAGAGCCGGCAATTGAGGGTTAAGGTGGAAAACGGCGCAACTCTACAATCAGACAACTTGGAGGAACCCCGGAGGAGTTTACCATTGAAATTAAACGAAAGGGAGCTCAAAATCGAACGGGAATCGGGGCAAGCCGAAACTACCAGATCTTGCAAGGTAAAATCCGGGTTAGGAAGGTTTTCTAAAGTGACGAATTTGGTTGTACCCGGCAGATCAGGGTATCTAATAAGAATTTGAAAATTTCTCCGTTGCGAAATCATTCTGGAAGAAAAGAAATTGAAAGACTTCTCCAAACTCCTTTACTCAGATTCAAACAAAAACAGGTTTAACAGCAAATATAAACCTACCGAATTGCAGCGATGAGGAGGAATTTCGCGACGAACACCCGAGAATACGATTGAATTTGCCAGAAATTGAAGGAGAAAAGAAACCCTAATTCGTCTCGTCCGATCGAAGAGATTGTAGAAAAGGGGCTTTTTGTTTTTGTTTATGAACAACGCCTCTTGAGAGCCTGAACCGACTTAGTATTATTTTAAGAGGCGTGAAGTTGAAAGGATATTTCCGTCAACGCCATCGCTGAGGGCAGCAACAGGATGGGCAGAAGGCGTGTACCGTTACACAATAAGGCGTGCTTTGGTTTAGGGGCAAAAAGGTCAAAAAAAATTTGGACCATTTCTCGATTTGTGCGTGTCATCCTTGCGCAGGGGCCATGCTAATCTTCTCTGTATCGTTCCAATTTTATCGGATGTCCCCGAAGGGACGTCCTAAGGTGCTGAAGTTGGAGTATATATGTTGGTTTCCGAAGATGCAAAACTTCGATGTGGGATTAAAAAGCCTCACGGGCTGAATTTAACTTTAAGTAATATGGGCCGCAGATGTGAACTGAAAAAGCTAACTTTTGCGTTGACCCAATTTAACAGATCACCATGGAAGCCCATTTTTAACAATCCAAAATTGGTTGGTTACCTTCTTTCTTCAGTAATAGTTAGAAGAGGAAATTTATGAAAAAATGTACTTTCTCTGTCTTATAATTATAGTTCAGTTTATATTTTTAGTTCAAATTATATTAAAAGTGAAATCTCAAACTGGACAATAATTTTGGAACAGAGTGAGTATAAGAAGAAGAATTGAAGGGGCTTAAACTAATGGTCCTAACTTGACTTACAAAGTGCGAAAATAAATTATGAAACATTTTTTTTTGTCAGTTATAAAAAAAAAAAAAAATCGCATTAGTAATTGGATATCACTTATAATATAATACGCATAAATGTAGGTATCACAACATTAAGCAAAGAGATGGTGAAAATAACCAAACTTTGTAATCTAAAAAAAGACTTTTTAGTTAAGGAAAATCATAGATCCATAGTCCACGTCCATTTGGATGTATCCCATTTCTGGATGATCTTTTTACACGACTGGTTGACCTGAAGGTAGAAAATGCTTCTCATAAAATACGATGACGAGTGAATGGCAGAATGCCCTCAAATGTTTTCTACTATCAACATGAAAAATGCTCAAATTCATTTTCGAGGCGGATAGATAGAATATAAAAAAAATAAAAAATAAAAATTGTAGCATTCCTCCTAGGCATGCAAGACTTTATGCTATCCCCAGAAGAAGAAAAGAGAAAACAAAAGAGGTACCAAAAATGTTTTTCTAATTAATGGGGGTGGTCCATTACCAATCCAATCCAACTAGAAATTGCAATTGCTTTTGTTCTTTCGTTTGTTGGGTGAAAGCATTCAAAAGTTGTCATAGTTTGGTCAGTAAGGTGTTGCCTTGTTGGGATGAAGACTGAGAAATTGGGATATATTTGCCATCACTTTACCTACTACCATCCTCCAAGACGTGTGGTTCTCAACAGGATAAGAAGACACAAAGAAAGAGACCAAAATCATTCATTCATTTATAAACCTTAAAGCCCTCTTCACCACAGAAAGAGTAGAAATTGTAAGTAAGTGACGTTGTTCCCCCCATTCTGCTTTCTTTCTTTATTATGGCTGTTATCTCTTCTCGTTCTTCTCGTGTTATATAGTAAGCGTCCATATAATCTTATTATTTTATACATACTCTATATGTATATAGTTATGTCATTTTCTCACAAAGGGAAAAGCTCCACATGCACCTTTTTCTTTGTTTTTTTGGCTGTAGATATTCTCTCCATTTAAGTAAATGATATGCGCTTTTTGGGACATAATATTTGGATACATTTAGAGATACAACATGCATGTTTGCTTCTTACTAATGTTTTTGTAACCATAAATAACCCAAACGCTAAATATATATCACGTTTCAGAGTTATAGTCTAATTTGTTGAAATAAAATTATACAATTATCTTCGTCGACTATTAATTGTTACAACGGATCAAGTGGAGTATATATTACATTTCAACTGCCATTTATCTTCATAGACTATTAATTGTTACAGCGGATCAAATGGACTACATATTACATTTCAAACAATCACGTTTTTGCCAGTGAATAATTTTAACCTTCACCTTGGTCACGTATACATTCATGAAGAAACTTTTGTATTGGCAGCTAGTGGGGGAGGATTCAACCCGTTCAGTAGATGCACAAAATATTCATCGGGTTCCATAAATATGATATTGTTAACCATATTGCTGATCGATCACCAGAAAATTTGAAGAGATCGTTGTGAAGAAGATATGGGTACGGTTATACATCATCCTCTTCAATATACTCGTGATTTTGCATGCATGCCCATCAATAGACGCAAGGAAAAAGGGGAAAAAAAAAAAAAAAAAAGAACTAAAATTTGGTATCGGTTTGTCGCGTTCCGGAATCATATTTTGCTTGTAGTTTACAGTTTACACCTTTCCATGACACCGCCATTTGGAACAAACCGTAAGCTCTGCGGTTACTGGTTATATATCTAGTTTTTCACGAGAGGTTGAATAATTAAAAAACCACGGATTCGAATTTCAGTAATGACAAAATGTAATGTTTCTTTTTTCCCACAAAAGAAGTTAAAAAAAAAAGTGAAACTCATATACTATAACTCACCCTCCATATCCCACAAATTGAAGTTTACTGCGTAAAGTAATAAAAAATATACCAAATGAGACCCTTTTTCCTGAGAGGAAGGTTGTATGAAGTATATTTCAACATTTAGACTTAATAATTGGGTTCTGTTATAGTAACGTGCAAAAACCGCGATCCCTTCAATCATTTGTCTCTTGTGTAATCATGCAACTTAACCTGTCAAATTATGTTTAGTTTTTGGAAGGAGTACTAGTTAGACTGATCAGGTGGCAGTGGCACCAAAGATACTTGAGGTCCAGTAAGTCCAAAATAAAAGAATTTAAAATAAAAATAAAAATACGGAGCTTGCGGACTAAAAACAATGGATTGACAAAACTGCTAACTAGTCAAATGGAATCCTAAGCATCTAAAGGAAGATCCCAATTCCATCACTTTAGACCTTACACAAAATCTAATGCTTCCTCTGTACACTTGTCACCTAACTCATTACTCATGTATACAACCACACTTCTTTAAAGTAAAACTAGATGTTTGGCCCAGGCAGATGCCCGGGCGCCCGTTCTAAATTACTATTTTATTAAAATCTAATTGAATTACTATTTTTTGAGGAATTAATTTGGCGTATATATCATTTATGCTATGGTTTGGGGCTTAAAAAATATACATATAAATCTGAGGTTATAACGGAATAATAAATAATTAGTTTATAAGGCATTGTTCTTAATTACTGGATTTAGGTATTTTTATTTTTTGTTTATATTAAGCCTGCAAAACTATACGATTGGATATTTGAATTTGAATTAATATATCCATCCGTTTGAAATGTAACTGATCCTTATTTGTAGTAAAATATGTGTTTTTTTTTAAAAAAAAATTATATAGCTTCTAATTAAAAGAGACTTACACGTGGCAAAAAGATTCCCGAAATCTGAAATATGATGCATTGGAGCCAAAACAGATGCATACGTAGTTGCCACATAAGCTTCATGTCTTCTGCTTTAATAGGGTAAAAGGGATAGTACTCCTCCGTCCCATAATTATTATCCTGTTTGCGCTTTCATTTTTAGTTCAAATTGTACTAAAAATGAAATCTCAAACTGGACAATAATTTTGGGACAGAGGGAGTAGTATTAACAGAAAGTTTTAAAAAAGGAAAAGTTCCTTAAAAATTTGTACAAATGTCATCAATTGCTCCTGATTTGTTCTTCACAATAATGAGAAATGATGTCAATTTTCATACTTTACTAAAAGAGTTGCGGTAAAGTAATTGGAAGAACTCTTCCATTTAATCATAAGCTGGAGTTTGAATCTCACGAGTCAATATACTTGTCTTTATAATTTTTTTTTCGCCCTTTAAATAATTCTTCAATTTAACAAAGGACTAACCAAGCCAATGAACAATATGAATTCCATTTGGTAATGATTTATTACTCCGTATATTGTATTATTTCAATAGTTTATTATGTTGAATGGGATAGAATAGGAGTAATAACCGTCTATCTATGTTAAAAACACAAATTATAATAAAAAAAAAAAACGTAACAAAATGCGTAATGAGAAAGGTGGTCAAGAGCCTTTTGCTAGCTTAAAAAGTCATTAGTTTTAGCTTCATTTTCACAAGTCTAAGTCCAATCCAATTAGAGTAGATAGATCAAGAAGAAAACAGTGTGTGTTTACTTAAATATGATGTCTTAAAGCAATATTAGCCCTTGATTTAAACCCCAATCCAATCATATCCCTCCACTTACATTCCACGTGGACCTCACGGACCAACTAACTTTTTTAATTTTCCAACGGACTCGAGTTCAATTCAACCTCGGAAAAAACTAAAAAGAAAAAAAAAGAAAGAAATTCTTATGTCACAAAAAAAAAAAAAAATTGATCAGACTGGAAAATTCTGTACCTCAGAATTCGATCTGTATACTTCAAATTGTGGCTGACCTTCTTCCTGAATGCGCAAACACAAAATCAAACCACACAAAAGTTTTACACAACCTAAAAAGCATGCACATTTAATTTACTCTTTTTGATATTCTTGATCACTCACACTAGTGTAAGCAAGCAGCTCCTCACCTATATTAAAAGCTTGAGTTTTTCAGTTCATCAAGAAAGCCAAAAATTGTCCCTCAATTTCTTGGGTTGTTTCCTCTTCTTAGACCAAAAGGGCTGAAAAGTCTTGTTGGGAGAAGAAGTTTTCTTTTGGTGTCTGAAAGAATGGCGGGGACTGGAGTTTTTGCTGAGATTATTGATGGGGATGTGTTCAAGTACTATGCTGATGGAGAATGGAAGAAGTCTGGCTCTGGGAAATCTGTTGCTATTATAAATCCAACTACAAGAAAAACCCAGTACAAAGTTCAAGGTACTTACTTGATTTCTGGTTTGGAAATGTGATGTTTTTGATGGTTTTGTAGACTAATCTGATTTTTTTTGTCCTGTTACTGTAACAGAATTTAGTAAGATCTCTGAACAGGGTTTTTTTTTTTTTTTTGGCTTCTTTTGCTTAGAGATGAACGTGGGTAAATCTTTGGGTAGCTTGAGAATTTGTGAATGCAAAATTTCCTTGAACAATATGGAAGAACTAACTGCAATTTGTTCTTAGTAGCAATTAATTACTGCCATTTAGATGTTCTGTTTTCTTCAGGGGAGCTCGTTTTGTAGTTATGTACTATGAGTATAAAATGGAACAGACATGCATTATCACTGAAACTCAAGTTCAAATTTTGTTCATCTGAAACTCTTCCTTGTACTCTGATCTTACAAATGTTGATAATGATGATGCATGTGCCGTTTTCTTTAGTTTAGTGGTACTAGCAACGGCAGAGGATTGACGTTGCAATTATGGGAGAAACGAGTTTTATTGTTGTGTTGATTAATCAATTTTGTTCCAAATTTCCCGCCTGATCATTTTCATGGCATGTTGATCAGCTTGTTCACAAGAAGAAGTTAATAAGGTGATGGAGAGTGCAAAGGTTGCACAAAAGTTGTGGGCGAGAACACCGCTCTGGAAGCGCGCGGAGCTGCTTCACAAGGCAGCTGGCGTTCTTAAAGAACATAAAGCCCCAATTGCAGAATGTCTGGTCAAAGAAATTGCAAAACCAGCAAAAGATGCTGTATCTGAGGTAGCTAATAATATTGCAGAATTCAGCTTCTATATGAAGTGAGCATAATGTTAGTTGTTGTAATTAAAGATGATGGTGACGTTTGTTTGAACTGAATGAAGGTTGTAAGATCTGGAGATCTGGTGTCTTATTGTGCGGAGGAAGGTGTAAGATTATTGGGCCAGGGTGCATTCTTAACATCTGATAGTTTTCCGGGTAACGAGAGAACTAAATACTGCCTCGTTTCTAAGGTACATTGGTACTTCCTTGTCTTTATAATCAGACTGTTCAGAGCTGCATTTCAACTCTAGATTTAGTATCAAGATTCACATTGTGCATCTCTTCTCTTGATGGTATGCTGACCAGCATTGACTAGAATTTAACGGTGGTTGAAATTTTGGATGCAGATTCCGCTAGGTGTTGTTTTAGCGATCCCTCCATTCAACTATCCTGTGAATCTTGCTGTCTCCAAAATTGGACCGGCCTTGATAGCTGGAAACTCTATAGTGCTTAAGCCTCCAACTCAGGTATTTTGCAAACACTTAATAACTATGCTGCTTCGCGTGCATGCTTGTGCGCATTGATGCATTCCAAGTTTCTGACATATATCAAGACATCAGTAGTCAATATTTACTCTGACTGAAGAGCTGATTGTTGCTTATTGAGCTCTCAGTAACAGTGATGTGTAATTAGTAATTTATTAGTCTTCGCGTAAATATAGTGAATGTGCTCATTCTTAATTGATATTGCTTCTTGGATACAGGGTGCTGTTGCTGCCCTTCATATGGTGCATTGTTTCCACTTAGCCGGTTTTCCCAAAGGTCTAATCAGCTGTGTCACAGGAAAAGGATCTGAGATTGGTGATTTCCTCACCATGCATCCTGGTGTGAACTGTATCAGGTAAATCTGACATCTAAACCTCTTTTGAAGATTCTCCCAGATACTTCCCCATATTAATCCGTACACATTGCACGCATCTCAGCTTCACAGGTGGTGACACTGGTATTGCAATCTCCAAAAAGGCTGGAATGGTCCCATTACAAATGGAGCTTGGTGGAAAAGATGCGTGTATTGTACTAGAGGATGCTGATCTAGATTTGGTGGCCGCAAACATTATCAAAGGAGGCTTTTCTTACAGGTTTGTCATCTGTTTTCGTACTTGCAAATGTCTAATCAAAACTTTTTTTTTAAAAAAAATTTAACATGATGAGTTGATGACAATTGATGATTAACTTCGTTGCAAGCATTGCAAAACTAGTTCTAACTTGTAATTTGAAACGATTGACAGTGGTCAAAGGTGCACTGCTATTAAAGTTGTCCTGGTGATGGAGTCGGTGGCTGATGATCTTGTTGAAAAAGTAAAGGCCAAAGTGGCAAAATTGAAAGTCGGTCCTCCTGAAGATGATTGTGATATTACTCCAGTCGTCTCCGAGTCATCTGCAAACTTTATTGAAGGTCTCGTGAAGGATGCTAAAGAGAAAGGTGCAACATTTTGCCAGGAGTACAAGAGGGAAGGCAATCTTATCTGGCCATTGTTGTTAGATCATGTCAGACCAGACATGAGAATAGCTTGGGAAGAGCCTTTCGGGCCTGTTTTACCCGTCATTAGGATTACATCTGTTGAAGAAGGAATCCACCATTGCAATGCCAGCAATTTCGGCCTCCAGGTAACACATAACATTTTCAGTTTACAAGATACAGCTTTTTTCCTGTCTCCTATATTTACAAGTCATTGATCTGAAATGAAACATACTTGAATACAGGGATGTGTATTCACCAAAGATATCAACAAAGCTATGCTGATTAGTGATGCTATGGAAACGGGAACTGTGCAGATTAACTCTGCTCCAGCTCGTGGTCCTGATCATTTTCCATTCCAGGTGAGCTTTCAGCGAAAACATCTATATTATCCGGAAACCAACTATGAACTAGTTTCCCTATTATTTCAACAGTTACAGTCTCTTAGGTAACAAAAACTTTTTACCTGCAGGGCATCAAGGACAGTGGAATCGGATCACAAGGCATCACCAACAGTATAAACATGATGGTTAAGGTCAAGAGCACTGTGATTAACTTGCCTAGCCCATCATATACAATGGGCTAATAAGAAATAAATAACATAATGTAGTCAATCTCTTACCATTTGTATCGGCATGCTAGCTTCTGCTTGCAGTAAAAGCATGATATGTAGATTAAGCTTTCTTCAAAATTCCCTTAAGAGCTTGGCTTTGGCTATTAGGGAAAAGGCAAAAACAATAACAGTGTTCAGGTTTGCGGTATGTTTGCAGCTTGATTCAGTATGTTCTGCTGAAAGTGTCATATCAGAGAGCAAACTACACTTGTATTCCATTTATGTATTTCTCTTTCCAACAAGAAAAATGATGGTGTTCTTAAAAACATTAGAGCTCGTTTTTTATTGGGTTCCTTGACATATTTTTTGCAAACCAATTACAAATTGGTGAATATCCATGTTCTTGCAAAGCCTCGGATCAATTTCATGATTGGAACGGATTAGCAGTCCGATGGACGAGGGTAAAGTGCGAACCCAGCTTGACCTCCCAAGTTAAACTTAACTGATCTGGTTTGCAATTGGAAGTTCAACAATTGCTAACCACTTTTTTCTCGTCCCAGAAAAAATAATTCACTTTGTTATACGTTTTTAATTTAAGAAAGTGCAAAATTTTTCTTGAGGGGGAGTACTTCAGAACGACATTGTTAGAACCGTCTCATACAGTATATTATAATGAAATCTGACAATAATCTAATATGTATACATTCTCCGATAACTTCTATGTGTAGTCAACTATGAGGTACATTGTTGTAAACTTGTATTCAAATTCCACGATGAAATAACCCTCACTGTCCAGACTCACCACCATCTTCACAGACATGATGAGATGGGAAAAATAGGCTTTGCAATATCTAAAGCCGAATATAACTACTAGCCTGTAACAAATGTAAGATAATGTCAATTAGCTACGCCTGTATAATGTCAGTTGAAAAAAATATTTCTTCAATCCTGCAAACAATAGTCCGTATTGTACGTTGTAAATTGTAGACTACTTTTTATGTGATCATTAACTATTCTGAGCTGAATTTAATGTCACCTCAAGTTCTACTCGTTGAACTCATAAATTCAACTACCAATACCATGAACCATCATCACAAGCTTCTCTAGAACAACCATCTCATCAGATTCCCCATATTTAATAGTAGAAATCATCATAGAAAACAAAATGTATCCTTCAAAACTCAGATGTAATCAACAAATTGAGCTAAATAGTACTCCACGTCCCATAAATATTCTACAAGAAGATCACCATGTTGGGAGAGCCACCCACCCCGTGGCTGTGTCAGTGCTTGTTGTTCTGGTAAATGATCGTGCTGGTGGTTCTGTCCGATGTTGTAGTAGGTGATATCCATTCTCGGGTTCGGAGAAAAGATTTCTCGAAACCCATAATCCAACTCCAAAAGGATTGCACTGGAAGCAATTTTTTGGGTCATAACTCCCTCTCAAATCAACACCATGGGTTTCAAACATGATCTTCAAGTTCTTGAATATGAATGGATGATCAAGTAACTCTAGAGCAGACCACCTTTTCTTTGGGTCCCTCTCCAAACACCTTGTAAGAAATCCCCACAATCTGTATTAGCAAATCTCGACGGTACATCGATTTTGCCCCGTATTATCTCATCGATCAAAGCCATGTGATCATCAATATTTTTCCATATGGGTTTTTCAGCAATCATCTCGTAAACAATGCACCCAAAAGACCATATGTCGGTGGAAGTCTCGTGCTGGCCGGAGGTCACGGATTCCGGCGAAGCGTACAGCAGAGTGGTCCTGTTGTAAATCTTTTTTTCCATATAAATCCCGAGTACATGTTAAATCCTCCTTCTCCGAGACTCTCCCAGCCCGTCTGAAATCAGCTATTTTCAGGTCACTGATGAGTTCGCCGCCATAGATGGCCGGAAATTCCAGTATGGTGGCCGGTTTCAGATCACAATGAACAATCCATGAATTCCGGCTAGTCCTCTGAGCAACATATAAGAGTAACAAGCAACGTGGGTTTCCGAAAATCTTCTCATTAGGCCTCGGTTATTGTTTTTGTTGTTGATTAGATCGTAAAGGGTCTCCCCCGGGGCGTATTCGAGAAGAAGGTTGTGAATATTATGGCCTTTCTCGACGATGTAATCGACATCGTGACATTGAATTAAGTTGGGGATTCCGTTCAATTGGGCTAAGAAATTACGTTCTTGTTCCAGCAAAGCAACGGCGTAAGGGTTACTTTCGTTAGCGGATTTCACGATTATGCACCTTAACGAAGCACTGCAGGCAAAGTAAACAGAGCCGCCGCCGTAAGCCTCTGTTTCTAGTTTCCGATAGTTTTTTCCCAAGACTCCATTGTTGTTTTGTTTTTTCAATTCAAAAAACCAAAGGCTATGCTTTTTATAATACCGCGTATTACGAATTCACGAAGAAGAAGAAGAGAAATCAAGAGCAGCAATAAAGACAGATTCCCTGTTGGTGTGTGGAAGCCGGTTGAGTTCAATCCGCTTTCTACTTGCGAACAGAGTGATTAATAATTGATTTATAATAATGAACGTATATAATATGATTATATATTACGTGGGCAAGGTTAGTCAGGTGGAAAATTTCCGATTTTTCACTTTCAATCCAAAACATGATTATAGTTTAATTACAAGAATAAAAAGTAAAACAAGACGAGGTCCCGGAAGAGTAATACTGTAGTTTCAATGTAACCCATCCCATATATATCCAATGGATTGCGATTTTTTTGTATTGGGCTTTCTATGGAAGGAGAATTTTACTGTTTGGTGTCATTCCAAGTGTCCAACACAATTTCACAAGACAATGAAGGAATTTTTTAAACACCGGAGTCTTCCTCTTCGCCATGCCAATTAGGAATGACACCCTAATTTTGTGTTCAGTGAAGAAGAGCTATTTCTTTTTTAAAAAAATAAAAAATAAAAAAAAATCCAAGATTCTCAGTTGTCCAAATCAATTCTCCGGGTTAAGTTGGCATGTTTGCTCCACATGTTTGGGTGACAGTTTAACTTGTTTCATTAAGCGAACTACGAAAGATTCGATTGGATTAGTATACTTCAACTGTCTCTCTTATGAAAATCCAATCATCTCTTACTATTAAATTTCTGTTGATTATAGGGAAGGGATATGTTGAAAATCCAATCATCTCTTACTATTAAATTTCTGTTGATTATAGGGCACATAAATTGTTCTCAAGTTTTGCAATGATTTATTGAGGGTTTTACCAAGTCTACGGTGTATCAGTTAAGAGAAACGTGGTACTACTATCCTTGATTTTGTTTGAGGTGATTCTATTCCAAAATATGCTGTATTTCTTAACTTCCCCTATGCTCCATTTCCCTTGCTGATCATTTGACCACGGACACAAACCTAACTATGATTGACAGTGACGGAACGGGAACTTTTAAATTGCAGAGTCGAAAATAAGTTTATTTAACCGTTAGCAAGAAAACATAATCACCATTTTATACCCTTTTAACAATTTCTACATTGCTGCTAATCACATATGGCATTAATTCTCCTATCTTGATGATTGTAACTCCAACGTAACTACTAGAGATTGTGCCTGTAATTGGATACAAATTTATGGGTAAAGCTACAGTCCCGTTCACAATTTTGAGAGTATGGCCCTGTTATTTGATTAAGAGCCATTAGATCAATTTAAATTAATTACAACCATAGAATTTGTATTAATTGAAAAAATAATAAGAAAATTTTTATAGGCAACCTGTAACTATTTAAGATATATAATTTAATTAGAAATATTTTCCTAATCTCTCTCTATCTTTCTTTTTCCCTCTCTCTCTCTCGCTAGCTGAACTTTTTCTTTCTTTTTTTTTCTTTTTGGTACCAATGCAATTTCATATTCTTGCTAAAAAAAATTGATGAAAATTGATTATTTTATTTTAATGAATCATGAACCTTAATTCGTTGGTTGTTGTTTTTTATGTTTACGAAACCAATCTATTTTCTTCTTTGCTTCCATGAAATTTTTAGAGATTTTGGAATAAGGGAAAATGGAAGAAGATGAACTAATTTTAGATAATGAAATACTGTAATATTGAAGAAATTTAAAAGTTAAAAATTAAACAAAAATAAATCAAAAGGTGCGAACATCTTTTTTAATTTTTCTTTTGCGATTACCAACAATGTAATTTCCTTAGCTGAGCAATGTACTTTATTTTTGTTTAAATTTTTTTAATATTTTCATTATCATTAACATGTAAATGGTAGAGATAAATGGCACAAATTTCTGCAGTAAATCTCAGCTTATTTAAAATAGAATTTGTCCATTGTCAAATTTAAGTGTGCAATGTTTTGTAACAAAGGGTACACTAATATTGATGTAGATTGTAAAACTTCTTTTGTTGAGAGTGCAATACATTATAACAAAGGTTCAATTCCTAGTTATGCAGTACTGTACAATACTTTTTTTTTGATAAATATACACTTCTTATATATTTATGACTATACTAAAATTAATTCTAATTGTTGATGATGTGCAAAAAATATATTATAAAGTAGCTAGTGCAATTTTTTTTTTAATGAGATGTGCAATCTATTTTATTATATGTGAAATAATGTACATAAAAATATGTCATGTTTAAAAATATATTATTATGTTAAAAATTTTCAAAAATTAGCAAATAAAATTCTATTATTCAAAATAATACGTTAATACTCGTTTAGTAAGGCTTACAAGAAAATTCTACATAAAAAAATGAAACTACTATATAAAAATTATATAAGAAATGGTGCAATGTTTTTTAATCCAATGTGCAATTATGTATAAATATAAGTGCAATTTCTAATGAGTAAATGCACAATCACAGGTAGATTTTTTTGTAATGTAAAAATAAAATAAGAAAGTTTAATTAAGAATTATGAAAAGTTTTAGTATAATGTAATTGTTTAAAAGTGAACGTACAAATATATTTTACTTGAATGTGTAATTGCATCATCAAAAGTGCAACGCTTGGATATCTATTATTAACTTACTATAAAAATAAAAGGAAACAAAATATGGTGTTATTAATTATTAATGAATTACGTCCAATGTTTTACAAACTAATGTGCAATTATATATACGTATTCATGCAACATATATAATGAAAAAAGGAAACTCAATTATTAATTAATGATGATTTTGTTATTTTAAATAATGAAACTTTCTTAAATTATTCAATTTTTTAAATTTGGGTAAGTTTAACTGCTTAGCAGGTCACAAAAGAATTTAAAAATTAAGAAAATTTAATATTATATTGATGTGTCACTTTTCTATTAGTTAGATTTTAACGGTACCAAACCCTCAAAATAAGTAACGGATCTAGAATTTTTCCAAATTTATTAAAGGGTTTATTAAAAATATATTAAAGGGTTTACAAGGATGAAACAATAATGAACCACAACTCAAGGAGGATGTACATATGATTTGAAGATACACTATACCAAAATTGATTGCGCTACATAATTTGTCATTGGTTGGACGATGTCCCGACTAACGTCAAATCATAATTATAACACGATGTAATCGGTGTTCTAACCGAAGAATGTACCGACTCAATCTTTTCCAGACGTTATTCATCCTTCAGTGAACTGAAAAAAATTAACCGTAATCGCTTAATTGTAAGGACTGTCCTAATTATAATGTATGCTTAATAGTTAATACTCCTTTAGTGCACAGAAAAAAAAAATTAACTACATAGTTGTCAGGAGTTTGATGTGATCTGACTGACAAGTCTGCACTTTCTTCCATGATGATTGGTTCATCAAAATACTCTAATCACAGGCTAAACATATAAATAACAAGTACATACATTGTTCTTCTTTCTAATAATTAAATTAAATTCTGAAAACTGATTAAATTTGCTCTGCTGCTTTGCATCTCTGCATGCACAAAATATGTATTCGGATGGGGAACCCTGCAGAATATGCTTCCTTTCCCGAATTTTTTTAATCCCCCCTCTCCCATTATTGGTTCCTTGAAGTAGACATATCAACATCTTATTGGACCACATACCATATATTTAAATTCATGAGATTACTATTAATTTTTTACGTTACAGAATAAAAAGAATTCCCGTTTAGCTACTAGTATGTTTTTTACAAAATCGTAGCCATTTCTCAAAAGGGCAAAATTATATCGGAATTCATATTAAGTATATGATTTACGCTCCACCGTCTAAGGATAATAGTCATATTTATTTAATTATTTTATGATATTACAAACTCGATTTTTATTTTGGAACTAAAGGATCGAGTATAACTTAATCGGTGAAATTAAAGTTGATAAAAGGCTGTTCTATTAATTTGTTAAGTATTTTGGGATACTCATTAAACAAATTGGTTGTTCTTGAGTTGCAAAGAGAGTCATCCAAATAGAGGAGAAGTGAAGTTTTAGGTGAAGGACTATGACACACAAACTAGACTATCTCTCTGAATTAATTCAGTCCTGCCTATCTTTAACATATTAATCCCACATTTTATGACTTATTGAAGGTGTTTTCATAGTACACTCTGTCCCAGAAATTCCTCAAAAAACTATTTTTATGAGATAATTAAAGGAAATAATATTTTATTCCCCACCACCTTTGGATAACCTCTATTTTCCCCTCAATTTATTACAGTCTTCAAAAGTTTACAAGTGCGAATGGGTTTGTTATAATGTGAGGTTCTTTTTTATCTTGATGTCAAATATAAAGATATAGTATGATTTTATTTACTCGTTACATCTTAAAATAAGAGTCATACATTTTAAATCGTTGTCCAATCTGGCTCTGGTATTTTGAAAATGAAGGAAACATATCACTCATGTGATGCTACTATTCCATTTTCCACCCTAATAAAAAAGATAGTAGCAAATCTGGTTAATCAATTCCTCGTTGTCGTACACGATCAAGCCTGAGTAAAATTTTTATTCATGACTGAATTTTTTAAGTTTGATACGATCCTTTGTTAATTCTCCAGATCAGCAGATCTAGTTTGATCCATTGTACATGAGCCTAATCCTACACATAAAAATCAAAATAGACAAAGCCATCACATTTAAAAAAAATTGATTGATTTGCTAAACGGGATGATTCTGTGTACGTACTTCATACTGTACTTAAGATTATGAAGTGATTATCAATCGTGATTGACGAATCATTATTCGACACAAGTCGAAACACTTCATCAAAAAGTTCAAGGATTCCTCATTCTTGGTCGGGAATTCGACCAACAACGCATTCCATCTGTAAAAATGGCTGTTGAAAATTTTTGAAGAGGCGTAAAAAGCGAATAGACTATTTACAAATTAAATCTAATACATGTGGAATGGGGATCAGTACTTTTGTTTAACTTAATGCATAATCTAACCTTAACCACATGAAATTTTGCTGTCTTAATCTTGAACATCGATTTGTACGAAATAAATAAATAAAATCTTGAACATCGATCATCTTGTTCTCTTGTTTATTGATTGCCGCATGAAAATGGTTTAAATTAAACACTTGTTGTTTCGAGCTAAGTTTAGTAGATTGATTTCTTAATAGATCATTAGTCACCAAATTATAATCCATGATAGAGAGCAGATGGATAAGAAAGGGGAATAATAAAAAAATAAAAAAACGTTTTAATTTAAGCTGTATCCACCACTTTTACGACATTTGGATGGAAAGAATATAACACGTCTATACCAGGAAATCAATGAATAATGATTTCTTTGAACTTACTAATTAGTACTCTCTCCATTTCAAAATAGAAGTCTTTTTAGACTTTACACGTAAACTAAGGAGATAGTCATTCAACAATTAATTTATGTATTGAATATCTGTTTTACTCCTCATTAAATTAAATACATTGGAACTATAAATAAGACTAAACGAAAATAGATTAGCATTATTTATTGAGGGTAAAGTTGAAAAATAGTAATTAATTTACCTAAAACTTGTAAAACGACTTACATTTTGAAAAATATTTCTAAATCTAAAACGACCTACAAATTGAAATGTAGGGAGAAATCGTTTAGTAGTAGTAGTACTAATTATCATAATGCTGGTAGGTAAAGCTGGACGAGAGTAATTGAGCTAGAATAACTAATAAGGCCTTCACGTTGTTTCAAGAAGTCGTTGGGAAGCCAAAGTTTTGAGTTGCGAATAATAAAGAGTAAGTAGTTTTTTTTATATATATATATAATTTAAAAAAACTCAATTTGAGAATGATTTTGATTATATTTGAGGATAACATATTGTAGTAGCACAACTGGATTACATTATTATGAAATTATAGATACTCCTATTTGAGGATGTTACATGCATCATTATTATCCAATAAACCACTTCCAAAGTGGTTGGTTGTATTGGAGTAGTGGTAGGTAGTTAGTTCCCTATTTTCTTGTTAGTGGTTATTTTGTTAATTAGAAGAGTATTGTAAATAGTCTCCTTTGTTTAGCGTGTAGGAATATAGATGAATGAAAGAATTAAAAGAACTCCCCTCCCACTTTATCTTTATGTTTCTTATCTCCCTCCGGGTGAATTTCTCCAGTTATATCAATAATCACATCCAGTTATTATACTAGTAGTCCAACATATCAGAGGACATTTACAATATTTATCTGTACGTTATACTAAGAAATATCACAATCCCGTATTATTTTTTTTATTCAAAAATTACAAATTTGTACTCAAAATAGATCAGTTGAAAATATTCTAGTAATTTAAGTAATCTACTTAAATATTTCTTAAAAAGTTCTCAATTTATTGACACTTGATTTTAGGGTGGAGGGAGTGTAATTTAAGTGGAGCAGACCAAGAGTCTACTTCTGTTTGACCAAGTAAAATTGCTTCGGTGACCCCTCAAAAGCTGTTCTAAAATTCTGGGCTGATTTTTCTTGGGGTGTTGAATGTTTTTCAGTTGGACTGAAGTGTGATAATGGTCCGATTCATTTCAATAGCGTTTCAATCGATTTCCATGAATTTGATAATGGACTGGACCAACTTCTTTTACTGTTAATAATACCGTGATAAACTAACTTCACTAAATCCTGTGGATTAAGGTTAAGATTACCCAATAATCCAGTACTCAAACAGAGAACATTTTCGGTTAAGATTTTTCACAATCTCAAACTAGTCAAACTTGATTTTACCGTAGGCATTTAGCTATACACCATCGGTCACATTTCAATAGTGTATTTTGCCGTATGTGGAGTATTTCAGAGTATATAGGTAAAAATTGTATACTCTACTAATAAGGTAGTAAGTACTGAATTGTGTGTGTGTGTGTGTGTGTGTTCTGATGGAAAAGGAATAAAAATAAGAATATAGAAATGAAGCAAGCAAAAAGGTAGAAGAAGCAGCGCATCTGTCTGTTTGTGCAGTCTGAGCAGAAAAGAGTTTAGTAGTATTTATTAAACTCCCCTCCCACACAAAACTAGAGTAACTAATAAAAATACTTTGATTTTCTTCACTTCTCCAAAGAAAATACTACTACAACACAATACTCGTACTTTAATGGCTCCTCAAAATCCCAAACATTCCAAACATCATCATCCCTTCATCATCTCTCCTCCTTCCTCTTCTTCTTCTTGATCTTCTCAAATCAACTTTTGTTCCTCTTCCCAGTTCGTAACTTCCAAGGTTTTATATAAAACTAATTTAATCCAATCAGCGTACTATAGTTAGAAAGATGCAACCTTGTAGTAGAGAGATGCAATCCATCAATTCACTTCTGAACCAGCAACAACAACAACAACAACAATCACACATGCCTTCTCTTCACGACCTCCACAACGGCGGCGGCCTCCACCACCATCAACCGCCGCATTTTGATGGGTCGGCGGCGTCGTCCTCCCATGACGACTTTCTGGAACAAATCTTGTCCTCCAACGCCTGGCCGCCTCCGCTTGATCCCGGGCTCGCAGCCGCCGCCGCCGCCGCTAAACCTCACTCCCCATGGGATGCGCTTGGCTCGCTTGAGGACCAGTCGACCATGTTGGCTTCGAAGCTCCGGCAACACCAGATCAGCGGCGCTAAGGCCATGTTACTCCAGCAGCAGTTACTTCTTTCCAGAGGCTTGGCCGGCGCCGGCGGAAATGGGCTCAGATCCCCACCCGGAGGTTCCGGTTCCGGTGGCCTCTTACCCTTGCCGTTGAATTTGTCCGGCAACGGTGATCAAAATGAGGTAATCGGCTCTTTCAAGTTTTTTACTCTGTTCTGTTTCTCCTAATCCGAAATTGCAATTCACCAGACTTAATTAAGAAAGTTTGAGAATTCAGTTGGCGATTTTAATTACAGGGGAATGATGCATCAGTTCAAGCTCTTTTCAACGGATTCAATGGTGGATCCCTTGGTCAGCCATCAACTCAATCTCAACATTTCCACCAATCTCAGGTACCCATTTCTAATGACAGAAAATTTGAAATGTGCTACTTAAATCGGTCATTTCTATTATGTGTTTAATTTTTTTTCTTCAGGGAATGCCTATGCAACAAGCACAGAATTTCAGCGCCCCAGCAATGAATCATCAGCCGGCGGCGAGTGGTTCGACGGCGACCGGAGGAAGTGGGGCGGCGGCGGCGGTGGGACAGCAGCCACGGCAGCAGAGAGTGAGGGCCCGAAGAGGGCAAGCCACTGACCCACACAGCATTGCTGAAAGAGTACGTTTATTAGCTACCGTCCGAGTAATAATAATAATGCAACAAATTTTGTTTCCATTTTGTTTGTTTTTGGATTGGTTTCAGATTCCTTTTTTTGGGTCCTGAAATTTTTGTTGATTCTGTTTTGGTTGTTTCTCCTCTGTTTTGACTCTGTTTTTTTTTTTTTTTTTTACACAGTTACGTAGGGAGAGAATTGCTGAGAGGATGAAGGCTTTGCAGGAACTTGTACCCAATGCTAATAAGGTAGTACCTCCTAATTTTCAGTTTCTTTTTTTTTTATTTATTTGCTCTTAATTAGTATAGGAGAATTGATTGATTGAACCTGCAATTGATTCATTTATAATGATGAAAACTAACTATTGTTTGCAATAATCACATTTTAAAGTTTTTCTCAAAACAATTTTCTTCAGTTGAAATTCGAAGAATTTTTAATGAAGTGTCTGTGGTTTTATGATTAGCATCTCTGCGTAACTGCCTTATCATAATTATTATGACAATAATGGTTGCAGTAAAAGATTAAAATTTTACTATTGTTCTTAGTGATGATGCACTGCAAGTATGTTAGGGTGCCTCTTTTTTTTTTTTTTTTGTCCCACGGATGGTTTTTTAAATTTCTAATAATTAGTTTGACTTGATCTACTCCCACATGCTTCACTAACTATAATACTCCCTTGATATTGTTATTGATCTTTTTGTTTATCTGACGTATCAAATAATCAGTTATGTTTGCCCATCATTTCACTTGTGATACACGATTGATCGATCGATTGATTGATAGATTTTACTCGATTAATTGAAGTCTTTTAAGTAATTTAGGAACTTCATCTTTCCTATTAAAAATGCATATCTGACTAGATTTGGAAGAGAGAAAAGGGGGTTAAAAAGGGGGGAAAAAAAAAAGAGAAAAGAAAAAGAAAGTGACATTGGGGTAGGAAAATGAAAAAAAAATCAAAGGAAAGGGGGTAGTAGTATCTTTCCGTGCGTACTTCCTGATGATGAGAAAGAAAAAGCTGGCAAAGCTAAGATGAAAAAGGGGACAATGGGGATCATAAATCAGGATGATAGCTACTCATCATGATGGGAAGAAAATAAAGTGCAGAGAACAATGATAGAGATGTGTCCTTAGTTTTCTCATAGTCCAACTTACTAGTTTAATACTATATATATAAAAAATTAAATGCCCTTTTGATTAAATTAATGTTTTGGTATAAATCATAGTAGTAATTGGTGTTTTTTTTTGTTTATTTTGATTAATTAATAATGTTGTTGTGGGAGGGACTAGGGAGTTGATAAATAAACTGATAAGAACGCGTTGTTGTTGTTGTTGTTGTTGTTTTGGGTGGGGAATGACAGACGGACAAGGCTTCAATGCTGGATGAGATCATCGACTACGTCAAATTCCTCCAGCTCCAAGTCAAAGTAACACATTTTTCAACCCCCTTTGTTCTTTTTTTTTTTTTTAATTGTGATGAATTTTTATGAGTGCAAAATTACTACTTATACCTTTAGTTTGACAAAATTGGTACACGCAAATTAGAAGTTGATAGGCAGGCCAATAGTGTAATCAAATCTCTTTTTAGGTTTTTCTTCTTCTTGTTTCCGACAAACTCAAAACCCTTACCACATTTCCAATTCCTTCTCTTAATTAGGAAGGAACAATTGATAAGCACAAATTGGTTCGTTTTACTAATATGGAATCGTCATCCTAGAAATATATTTTCTTTAACGATGCAACTAGAGACATTATTCTGAGTTTGAAGTATAATTAATTTCATTAGCTGTGAACATGAAATAAACAACAATATTCACTTAAAATGCATGGCAGTATTAACTCCGTTCTAGAAGAATGAGAGAACGATTAGTGATAAAATAAACACTTATTGATGATGGTTATGAATGTATAAAACACAGGTTCTGAGCATGAGCAGATTAGGTGGTGCCGCTGCCGTTGCTCCTCTGGTGGCCGATATGTCCTCCGAGGTAACGCATTCCTCCTTAATTAATTTTAATATACTATTAATATCTCATTTAGTCTTTCTCCCTAAATAACTAATATCGAAATTTTGGATCCCGTCCCAAAATGATTATAATGTAATTTTTTTTAACAACAATATTAACCAAACCTAATCTTGCCAAATCCAAAATATATACCAAATTCAGTAGATCAATTCCATTAGGCCATTAGGAGGCGGGTCAGCAGATATTACGTACTAAACTTATGGTGTTTGGTTGATTTTAGTTCTACCATTCCCACCTTTCCATTTATAGCAATTTACAATTCGAAGCATTATTGGCAGAAAAAGATGAAGAAGAAATAATCCCATTACGCAACAACTTCCCGGTCTAACTAAAAAAACCCCACAAGAAACATACACACAGTCACACAGTCCTCCATCTTCATCCTAAATCAAATCTTTCTCTGTCAAACCGAAAACGACAAATATCAAAAGTAGCACGCGTGCCTCTTTACTTTCCAGATTCCACTACTTCTCCCTAACCCCATCAAAACCCATTTCTATTTTGATTTCTATTTTCCTTTTTTTTTTTTAGTTACTGATTTCTTGTTTTAAAAATAGGGTGGCGGTAACGATGGGCGGGGCGGTAACGGAACTCAAACGGCGGCATCATCGTCCAACAACGACAGCATGACGGTGACGGAGCACCAGGTGGCGAAGTTAATGGAAGAAGATATGGGATCCGCCATGCAGTATCTTCAAGGAAAAGGTCTTTGCCTGATGCCGATCTCCTTGGCGACGGCGATTTCAACGGCGACGTGTCACTCAAGGAATCCCATAAGTCCCGGGATTAACGTTAACGGTAACGGCCTCCACAACAACCCACTTCTCGGAGGAGTTGGTGGTGGGGAAGCAGGTGGGCCAACTTCTCCGAGTATGTCGGTTTTGACCGTTCAGTCAGCCACGATGGGTAACGGCGGCGGAGCTGGAGGAGGAGGAGGTTGCGAACCTAACTCCGTTAAAGACGCCACGTCTATTTCCAAGCCTTAATGAGTTTTTGTAGGTTAACGGCGTTGACTGTTGTTTTTTTTTTTAACTGACCCCTTCGGTTTTAGCGGTAAAAAAAAAAAAAAAAACTCAACGGCCATCAAGTCTACCCAAATAAGGAGGAAACGTTGGCAAAAGAAAAATAAAAAAGAAAAGTTGTGTGCTATACGATGCCGTATTTAGGTAGACTTGGGCTAAGAAGTATGCTGCTTACTTGAAAAAGTTAACAGAAACGATCCCCAGAGATTCCTGTTTTCTTGCAGTTCTACTTTATTTTTTTTTTTGACAATCTTTTCAACAATATCTACGAAAATATTTGCTGTTTTATTACTTTTTTAGCACTATTATCTCAAGTAATCTGGGTCTTTTTGTTATGATGTTATTATACATGAGGCTCGAAATTATTGTTCATGTTTTGTATTTCACCGTAACAAATATTTTGATTTGACAGGTGTTTGTGAGGGGTAAAAAAGATTATTTGTGAGTATTAGAAGTTTTTGTTTATTTTTATTTTTTTTATACAATGAAAGAGGCATAAGCCTAATTGCTAGAAACTAATATATTTTTAAGATAAAAAAATACCAACGATGTCGTGTTTCAACCATTGTGTCTCCCCCAGTTGGCGGATCATCCAACAGGTGCAATCCTCCCGCACTTTTAAAAGTAATGAGCGCTAAACAATCTGCCACAAAGTTAACTTCACCGTAGACATGCTTCAAAATAACATTCCAACGCCTCTTCAATAACTCACGAATCCCCCTGATCAAACCGCCATGAATCCCTAAATCATCTTCCTCGCCTTGCACCATTCCCAAAGCACACCAGCTATCAAGCTCGGCAATTACTTGACGTTCTCCTCGATCGCAAGCCAGCTGAAGAAACTCCACAACTCAGCACCTGTACCTGTAAATCTGTAATAGAACAAAAGTATTTTCTATTTACAAAACGTTTACTATTAATTTTAGTTGTTAGGTTCATTATACCTAAAAAGTACCATATTAAAGAAATGTGTTAGCTAGAGATTAACTTCTAGCTGGCACTTAGGAATGATGTGAAGGTCTTCAAGTAATGATGGTTTTGATGAGTTGTAGTGATATTTTGGGATTAACAATTTAACAATCGCAAGATGATGATGCTGGTCAGAAAATAGAAATCAGAAAGGAATGAATTATTAATTATTCATATAAAAAAAATGCATTTGAGTAAATAAATAAATTACTAAAACGCGGAGATTAAGGATCAAAACGGGGTTTTGTGCTTCCTCTGGAAACAGGAAAAGTGTCTCAATTAAAGCAATTGGTTCAACATTTTTTTTCCCCCTCCTTTTTTGAGTTATACTAATAATACTTTATTCTCTCATGTATTTTTAATGCCTTTGATCTGTGTCTATGGGTCATTGACTCATTGCTTTTACTCCTAATTTTGTTTTGTTCTGTAGGGTTTATCTTAAAATAGAAAATAAAAATTGCTTTCTCTAAAGGTGGGTCTTTTTGACTTTTTAAAAGGAAAGATTAGAACTTGTTGCAGCTAATATACGTGTTGGCTTTCTTCAAGTCAACTCCAACTTGTTTGCCTTTTCTTTTTTTTTTTTTTTTTTAAATATTCATCTGAAAAGAATAACAAGAAAAATATTAGTTGTTAATTGTAGAAGTTAAAAGATAATCTTAATTATGTGCAGTCGAACGAAAAATCATTTCCATCCTGAATTATCAGACATCCCAGACTCGGCCAACGTCATGATGGAAATAAGATGCACGCTTTGTGTACAAGTTTTCTGTCGTGAACATTTTTACCAAGGAAGTTGTCCGAAATAGTGGCTGAAGGAGAAAACCAAACTGAGAATAAACACAAGTTATTGCAACTTTACTACTATTTCATATTTTCTCCGTTCCAAAATAATTCTATGCAACGAAAGAAGAGTACATTATTATTACATTGAGAGAACACATACATTCTCATCAAAATGTGAAACAAGTGAAAGACACTCGTTCCACCTATAAATTTTACGCGCTGCTCTTTTTTGCTAATTGATAAATGTTAATCAATTTCAATTGTGAATTAAATAAAAGAAAAAAAAGCACTAGATCCATGCCGTGATTGTTTTTTCAAATGTTTACTTTATTTTAGGAAATCTAGGTTTTCTTAAGGAAAAGAAGGAATAAAAAGAACGGAATGGGACAAGAGCGGAAGAAAATTTAAGATAACAAAACCTGTTGATGAGCCATTTATTATTTAAAAGATAACAAAACAAGATGTTCGTAGACAAGCCATTTTCCAAATTATAAAACAGGAAGTTCAAAATACTAAAAATAATTTGAGGAGATCCTTTTAACCCTTTTCACCTTCGAAAACCTGTTGATGAGCTTTGGGGGCTTTTGCCTCAAATCTCTCAATTTCAATCATATGAAACATTTGGAAGGCTAAGAACAGCTTTTTACGAGAAAACAGAATCCCCAACGTAAAGATTCAGAATGACATGAATAAAATCCATTACCAACTGGAGAAGGTAATGATAATAAGGCAGAAAAAGGCAGGGACAAAGGATTTACTCATTTGATCCAAATAGATTGGCTCCCCTCATCTCAAATTTAGATTACAGTACAGCAGCTCCGAAAAAAAAAAAACCTAGAAATAATGGGTAACATTGATGTTATACGGCAAACAATTCATGGTTGCATGCAAGAAACAATATCAATCCAGGAAGCAACCATGCGAAACAAGAACAAGGCTATCATACTAACAGTTGCCAACTCTGTGATGATGAAAGGAGTGAACCGTCAAAAAACAGAACTTCCCCTCAGGCATGCAGCAATGATTCCATAATATACTAAATTCAACTTAAATTAGCAAACGAACACAGACATAAAAACAAAATCGTCTATTATGGATTCACAGCTTACGACTTACAACTATCTCCCATGAAGGGTAAGTTTTATCTCGTGGTCAATCATTCCCATTGTCAGTTCAAGACATAAAAGGAACTAAATGTTCCTTGAAACTACAGTGAGTGAGAGTGACCTTGCAGAAGACATTTCAAAACCAAGAAAAAGAATGTACTTTCCTAACAATACCACCACCAGGCCCTCCCCTGCACTCTCTCCTCCAGAGCCCTCTCCGTCAATCACAAACGCACATGATAATTAGCACCAACGTATGAAAAACTTCCAGGTAATTCTTTTTGAAAAATGAGGAGATACACCGTCACAACATAAGTGTATACCTTTCATAGCATACCCCCTTTAGCACAAAACCACATCAGTAGTCCAATAAACCAGTTTTTCCCCCTTATTTTTGTTTTTGTAATTCTGTTCCATATCAACATTGTTTCTAACACTTCTCTTTTCTCAACTTCAAATAGAATAGATTTACAAACTCTTCAATCTCAAAAACGCCAAGGCACATACATCCCTCAATAAACCCGTTCTTTCGCCATTTTAATGCTTTTCCTACTTCGATTGTCTGACTCTGCAGCAGAACGTAAAATTCCTATTTTCTGTTCAATCATACAGTTCACCTAGAATGACATCAACTTATTAGTTATGAAATATATATAAGACTTTTACTACTTTGTTCAATTATATAATAAAGGAACCTAATTACGCTAAACCCTAAAATTCTAAAATAATGAGACATCTGAACTTTAGCTGCATCTTGAAGCTCATCTAACAAGTTCAAAAATGAATTTCTTCCAAACCATCAACTATTTCAAGTAGTCCAAATTAGAAGATTAGGCAAACTAGATTCTAGGTCTGGGAGAATCAGATTACAATCAAACAAGAAACTAGGACCTACCAAAGTACTTCTCTAGGATAAGAACAAACTAATTTCCTTGGTGCCATTAAGTAGGTTGACAGAATCTGAAGCAAACTTACTAAGCTTTCCTTATCTAATTGTTCTAGCCACTCCACGATAACACTCTCCACTAAATGATTATACTATATTGCAAAAAGAGAAACTTAACTCTTGAGAGAAGGCGCAAGAGAGATACAGCGAAAAAAAAGAAAAATTAAACCAGCAACTTACCACTTCACTGACAATCTATCACAAAATACGTGTGCATCCAGTAAAACTTCTTGATACACTAATGCTGATACAGTGTATTGTGGTCATATATTAAAATTCCATCAAATCAAAAGAAAGTACCAAAAGAAACAAAATGCAACAAATCAACAGTTTGGATGCAAGTTTTGCTCATAGAATACATGGTAAGGATGACAGCGATGTCAAAATGCGCTTAGCTACTATATCAAAAACAAACCAACATAAGCCATGTCCCAACCAAATCCTTACTCATTCAGCATATCTAATACTACATCAAACTTTTGCAAAGTTGATAACAAGAGCACCCTTAATTACAGGTTAACTCACTTGCATCTCCATTAGGGGACAACCTCTAAACCCCTGCCAAAAATATTTGTTCAAGCAAATGAGACCAGAATCTATTAAAGAGATTTACAAAACAGTTGCATTTTCTCCGAGAATTAAGCACCAGCTCTGAAAGTATAAGGCTGTGGGAGTGACAACGGACCTCTTCGCGCCTCAGTATCGTCCAAATGCCTCTGAACCCTCTTCTGGGCGCAGTACTGCCGATCAAAATGCTTCACCTGATCCTCCAATAATCCCAAAATACAATTAATAACAACCCACAAAGTATCCTCCCACTATGATTCAAATAGGGCAAAAATAAAAACATAGAAACGAATTAACTAACCCAAGTTGGCCTGCATTTCTTGACAAATTCTTCACGGGTTTTCTTACAATCCACGGGGTAGAGCAGCCCAACTGTAGCAATTTCGGTGGGTTTCTTGCCGGCGTTTTTCTCTAGACAGGTGTAGAACGCATCACGCGCCTTAATGCATCAAGAAATCGGAAATAATTAAACTTTCGAACTTACGATTCAAGTTTCATATTCGGAGAATCCTAAAATTGAAAATAAATAAATCCCCCAAATACAGAGATGGGTTTTACTTACCTTGTAGCAAGATAGTCTAGCTTGCGCGAGAACATCAGTACGGACTCCACCGGTGTGTTCCGAGGCGTACGCTTCCAAAGCCATTTACGGTGCACTGTGTGACTGTGTGACTGTGTGTGTGTGTGTGTGTCTTGAACAACAAGAAGAATCCGAAAAGGGGGTAAAGAATGAACAGAGCAGTGTTATATTTATGGCGGTTATACAAATGGGCCTTTAAGGGGATTTTGGGCTTTAACCCAGTGGAATTGGAGTTTGGATTCAAGTTATATTGGAAACCTATTCTGTCTCGACTTACAGTTGGGGTCACCTCCCCAGAATTAGAATTCTTAAGGAAAACTATTGGGCCAACATTTGTTCAAGAATGACTATTAAATAACCACATCAAATGTTTCTCCACAATGAGATACAATGTGAATGATTTTGCAACTTAGATTTGTTGGCCAAAAGGAATGGATGTTCCATGATAAGTGTTCTATGATGAGTGCTTGTTTGGACGTCAACTTACATTTCATTTTGCCACTTAAAAGTAAAAAGTATTTCAAATTAAAAATTAATGGGAAATAAAAATATTGTTTGGATGTTGGTTTTGAAAAAAAGTATTTTGAACTATATTTTGAAATATCAAGTACAAGTCATCACTAAACAATTAAATACTGTCAATTATAGTCACTGCAAAAAAAAAAGAACTTTCCCAAAAATAATCACTCAACAATGGAATCTTGCCAAATTTATCACTGAACTATTTGTAGTTCTAAAATCGTCATTACACTAATAAAAAGTGTTTCAAGTTGGAATTTAAAATGTAAATCAGAAAGTTGTTTGAATGATGTTTTCTTTTCCATTGGGTTTTGTGTTTAAGATGTAAAACGAGTGAAAATGTAAAATGAATTATTGTCTAACAAGGTTACGCCGGGGTAAGATTCTCCGATATGAAAGAGTACACGGAATCTATTGATCACAAAAAACGATTACAGGTGCATCCACCTTTTACCTCTCATAATTAAAGAGTGTTAATCCCTGCTACAAAATACTCGAAAATGTATATCACTGGACGACAGTTAAAACCCTATTATTTCAAACCACTCTAATGGCTAATCCATTAAGAGTTAATTTAATAGTCATTCAATTTGTTATACTATTTCAATTCAATAAATTATTAGATTCTTAAAGTAATAAGATGGATAAAGTATTAAGAAGTAATTGGTCTTTAAAGCTAATAAGGACAACAAATTGGTCATGTTCTTTCGAGGACTCGGTGGAGCAAGTGGGACTGCCTTATCGAAGTTAACACAGGCTATATAACCTCAAACGTTAATTTGATCAATTATTTCATGAACTTGATCATATAATGTATGTACACATCTCGACATTTGATGTCGTTTCATGTTCTAGATAAAATAGAAAAGAAGAAAATCATGATTATGACTCTGATCAAACAAGGCTAGATTCTTCAATATATATCTATATATATATATATATATTAACGGGAATCTTAATCAAACATTATTTTAAAGATCATTATTGAAATTATTATTTTGCTGGAAAATTATTGTCGAAACGTTTAATCATTCTGAGTTTTAATTAAATCTTTCTCACTAAACCAAATAATTACTTAATTAACTTGGGATATGTAGTACTTGTCAACTCAAATAATTCTGAAAATATGGACCTTTTTTTTTTTTTTTTTGGGTGCAAAAACCTTCACCACAAACGTACAATATGAAATGTTAATGTTATTACCAGAATCCAATATACCTTCCCCAGATCTAGGAATTTTGGGGGCTCGCCAATCATTTTCAAGAATTAGGTGAGAGTCCAATTAATCAATATTGTTCTTAAAATATTGAGATACAAATTGAATAACACCACTTGAATAATCAAATTATTAGTCAGAACATCAAAGCTTCTCAGAATCGGTTTATTAAGACCATCATTACGTATGCATTTGTTTGTGAATACCAGGAAGTAGGAACCACCACCAACCCCTCTTAGTTTATTAATTTAATTTGTAATTTGTGTATATGTTAATCAATCATTTAATGATTTAGCTAGATGCTAAGAAACTAGTTTACGTAATATGATCATTTTGTATGACTTATGATGCACAGGGCTTGTTTGGACACTGGTTTGTTTTAGTTTTTTATTTGAGTTTGAGATGTGATTTAAAATGTGGTTAATTTGAAAGAAAATTTAAAAAGTTGTTTGGGTAATATTTTAAATAAAATAATAATATTTTTACACCACCACCGGACCACCTCCACCACTGGCGCCGCCGCCGGCTGATTTCCGACCAGATTCCGGCGAGTTAGCCGGTGGCGACGATGAGCGGTCCGGTGGCGGAGGTGGTCCGGTGGTTGTGGATAAAAATTGTGTAAAAATAATGCTTGAAATAAATTTTAAAAAGTAAATGAAAAAGTTATTTAGATAGTATTGGGTTTTGTGTTTGAGAGGTGTTTTAAGAGGTAAAATGAGACAAAATGCAAAACAATATCTTGGCCAAACAATTTTTGTATTGCATATTTGCATGCATGGAGTAGAAGTATTTGTAGATTCGGGATAGTTCAGTTTTGTAGGATATATGCACAGTATCATCTATTGCCTGATTTGGCGATGCAAACTGAATTTGAGATTGTGAAAATATATAGATAAGAGTTTTCTTTTAATCGCACAATTTAACGGTGAGTTATTATTAAAAAGAACCAGAAACCTGACTTTAAGAGTCGAAAATTCATTTTAAAAACTACCCAATTATAAAACATGTGTACATTTATAATGGATTGGATAACCTAACAAAATTGCCGTGATGAACGACGGTTATTGAATGACGGATGTGAACAAATTTTTTTGGCCGATCGAGTTAAGCTGATCAATTCCGCCTGATAAACTACTTATAATGATCAACGTAGAAATAAAAACTGAATGAAGAAGGCAACTCTTTCCATACGAAAAGAATAGTGGAAACTAACGATAACGTAAAAAGCATTCTAATTCAAACGCAACTGTGGTTCGACGTTTTAAAACCAGATTCATACAATCGTACTAACGGATTCCCTTGTGCAGCGGCTTAAAAATTTTATACTCCTCGTTATGTCCAATAAATATAGCGTACATTGTAATCTGTGAGGACGCATAAAGTACCATATGATTAATATTTGGGTAGACATATATAATTCATTGTTCAATTTTTAACAAGTTTTATTCATACTTCCACTATCCTAAAATGAGTGCTTATTTTAATTTTTAGTATTAGGAATTATGTTAGGACAATTAGACTGAACAATTATGTTAGGAAGGAAAGTAATTTATATGTATTTTTTTCGTTTCAAAATTAAAACCTAATTCTTTACTAAAATGAAATAGTACAACTAACATGCATGATTTATCATGTTCACAAGTTCTGGGACTTGTTTGATAATATCAATTATTGCTTAAAATTATTATATTAAACACTTTTTTGGGTTCAAAATGTTTGATAATAAACCTAAACCATTTAATGAATTAAGTGGTGCTGAAACTGTAATACGAAATATAAGTAATAAAAGTTATCTTATTGCTTATTGCTTAACTGCTTAATGAATTCAGTATTTCAAATTCAGTATTAAACATTCAGAATTAAGTATTAATTTTAATCAAACAAACCCTAGCAGGGTTCATTTCTATAAGTAAAGGTATCAACTAATTAAACGCGTTATGGATCCAAATGCTGTAGTTATGACATAGTTAGGTAATTAATTACGTATGCAGAGCTGTTTGAGTGTCTGCTTTCAATCAATTGACTAATATATTGACAACTGAATACGAAACAAACCAAATTTGCGAGAATGAAAAGAGGACTTTCGCACTCCAATCTCCAAACTTCTCAGGCTCGAAGTAGTAATGATTGAATCTACAATGTTTAATCACTAGCGGAAACATCCGATAAAATTGGAACAACACAGAGAAAAAATTAGCATGGTTCTATGCACGGTTATAACACGCATAAACTAGTTTTTTTAGAAAGATCGATGAATGTAAATACATTATTGCTTTTTATAAATTTAATTGATAAGGTTCGAACTCGTGATCTTTTTAGACCTTAGTCAATTTTTGAACTTGTGATTTCTTAGACCTTTTCGGCTGCATGGCGACACCATTTGTATCGTTTGTTCAGAAGTCTCCCGTACGGTCGCAACTCTGATCGATGAATTTTCACTTTCTCCTTAGGTTGTTTACATGATAGTAGTAATAAGTACATAATGCTTTTTTTAAGAAAAAAATTACCCTATAAATTACGTTAAATGTTTGCATCCAAAACATAAAAGGTTGTCTTCATTTGTAAAAATCGCATGGAAAATAAAGGAAGGGACAAAACAGAACAAATTACATGGCAAATGCTTCAATCAAAAATTAAGAAAACCAGTAGTTGACTTGATTGTGACAGAACAAACCGAATAATTGCATCCGAAGTCATACCAAGTGGAGTCACATCAATCATTAGACTTGTATGTTTGGTTTGACACCAATGACCTTGTTCGGTGGGAGAAAAAAAGTATAAACGAAATATACAATAAACTTTCTGAGAAAAGTTTAATGGAATTAATGCTCCGGATTGAATTCCATACGATTATGTTTATACCTAACTTCTAGGGTTTCTTACTTAAGGTTTTGTTGAATAATGTTTATTGTTTATTGAACCACGTCATTTCTTATAAATTTATTTAGTAAATATTGTTTATATGTATCACCACTCCTTTCATAAAAAAAAAATTTGTCACAAAGATATACTGCATATATTTTTTTAAAAAATTGTGCTTATGAAACAAAGGTCAATACAAGATTAATTAATTTTTCCGATTTGTATGTATCTCAAGATTAATTTTCAATTTTTGGTGCATCACACATCATGTACATATGTGTGTTCAGTTGTAGTTATACAGATGGGATATGATCAATAATTCACATGGTTTCACTTCTGTTTGGACAGTTACATTTAGATTAGACGTATGAGGGCATTTCAATTTTCACCTAGGACCTGCTGGTATTGGAAATTGAAAATTTTTTGTTCAAGTGAAAACTTCAAACAATAATTAGAATTTATTTTTATACGATGATCTATATTCATAGTCTCATACTAGGCCAATATGGTAACTCCGCTGGTAAGTATTCCAAGAAGATATATGCCATTAACACAAGTAACAAAGCTAAAAAATTATAGCAATTGTAAAACACATTTCAAAAAAAAAATTAAATAAAACGCCAATATATGCGTAAATCGAATTCATCCCCCTAGAAGGCTTGTATGGCCAACGTCTCATTTTACATTTTGACTTAGTTTTTTGTTTGAGTTTAAGATGTAATTTAAAATATATTTTGAG